AAATGATAGTTCTAATCTGGTAGCGTAATAGTTACATTTCAGACACCTTGTATTTAATGATAACGATATTTTTTACAAATTTCATAGCCCAGTGTTTTGAAGTTCTTGCAAATGCCAAAAATCGCCTGACAAAATATGGCGAAACATGCTAATGCTATTCGTTTGCGCAGACGATGTCTGCGGTGGCGGAAAATTTTCGTTGCAAGTCGAATAACAGTTGGTCTTTAGGTTTGCAACAATGCAATTACTAAAATACAATTTTGGTTCAATAGATTTGGTAATTAAATTTTGGATACAATATTATAGAAACAGAATGAGTGTACGGAAAGAAAGTTTTATGGATATGTGTTGGTATGAACTTTCTGATCACGATACTCCGTCGATATAATTCTAGCCCTCAATCAGAATCTGTCAGGGGGGAAAGAACCGATTTTTAAGAATGACTTACTATCAAAATAAAATTTTCGAAATCCAAAGTATTTTCGGCTGAATCACATAAGAGAAGTGCCGAGGGGTCCGATACATTCCGGCTGGAATTACGATTTATTTAAAAAATTTAGCCGCCGGAGACGGACATAATATAGTAAGTCACCAAAACCAACGTCGCTGCTGCAGAAGCATGTGACATGTTGAGTATCTTTCAAGGGGATATGTTTATTACAGTTTGTGAATGTTCGTTTGAATAATTGCTGTGCATATAAAACATCGTTCCTTGTAAATATGTGGCATTAACGATAAATGTCTGTGAGGATTTATTTAATTTACTTTACAGTTCATTTTATTTTGAAGGAAACTTTCCTATCACTCTTGCTTTTAATTCAGACTTTCTTGCCAGAATGTAATTGATCTAGCGGGCGTGTATTCAAATGAGGCAAAAAGATGTCAATATTTAAGGAAACGTTTTGGAAGGCGAATTTAGAGCATGTTCTGCCTGCCTGAAAGCCACGTTGCTATCTTTGATTTACTAGCGATTAGACTTCTGCGGCGTTGAGAGCTTCTTGTTTACTCCGACTTTCGAGTCAGAGCCAGCCTGCGCGGTAAGTAACCTGTGAAGCCATCAGGCTAAACTTAACTCAATTTTATTTCAAGTTAATCATGACCTTTTTGAGTTAAGCCAAAAGTGCTGGCTTTGTAAGCACTAGTCGGTGCCATCTATGAACTTTAATATGAGTTAATAAAGGGTTATTTACATCTTTCTCGTGACTTTATTGTATCTTAAGATTTAGGGATAATTCCGTAGTCTTCTAACATCTAGCTTAGTTGATGTTACCCAAAGATACCAGACGTTGTACGTCTTTAAATAAACGACTTTTCTTACCCCATGTTCTTCGTACTTATTGTGTTTCCGCTTTTACGTTTCACCAGCCCTGTATTACGAAAATTATTACTTTAGTCATGTTCTATCACCTCTAAAGTTGGACCCTCTTTTCTTTTACACTGTGTATAAGTATATATGATCTCGTATTTAGATCTCCTTCTATGTAACCTCTTACGTTTTCTTGCAAAATGTATTCATTAGCTTCAATAATAATTTTAAATAATTCATTTCGGTAGTATAGTTAGACCGTCTCAAGCGTAACCCTGATTGGCATTCTGCCAAAACACATAGATTTGTCCAAAAGGGGTGGTGCTACTTGCTGCGACCTGAAAGGTCTTCTCTTCTTCGGAAAGAGCTATGCTGGAGGGAAAGAAAGTCCCCATTCTTCCACCCTGTTTTCAGAATAATTCGGTCTGAATGGTGCATGCGTGTTTGCGCTCATGGTCGCGGATGAGGCGGTCGAACTATAATAGTAAAATTATAATATAAAGAGTTTTAACTAGAATGGATAGATCTTCTTCGTGAATATATTCTAAAGGTTAATCATAAATATAAAGATTTTGCAGAACCGCAGTCTACAGAGCAGCTTCCGTAAAACGATTATCAAAGATACACATCTTTTAGTAATAAATATCAAAATCGTTTTTCTTTCCACTGGTTCAGATAAGCCGCTTGCAGCACGATGTAGATAAAATTGAAAGAAATAGATCAAGATTACTTTAAATTCGTGACCTTGATGACGCATTTGATAACGTAGTATCTCGTTTTAACTTCTCATTTCCACGTATTTGTGGTTGCTGGCTGACCAGTTCACTGTTACTCGACTTTCCTGTTCCGCGGACATTCTGTACGTATCCATATTTTTGGCTTGTCGCAACTCTGTTTAATTTTTTGCTTTGTTTAGTTTGCAGTATATTAAAATTGGGAGATTTCAATTGAAATGATGTGATTTTGATCTAATATTTAAATATTCGTAGAGGGTTATTTTTGTCATGGTATCTGAATATGAATAAGAGATTTTTCCTGAAGAGAAATGTCGCCTTTTGAGAAATTACATGCATAAAATCTATGCTATCATTGTTAATAGACTTCAGTGTATTGTAATTAAGATTGGGTTATATTTTCCTCAGTTGCACTAGAAACCGTGGATTGATTCCATTGTTTCTATCCAAGGAAAGATTTTATTTCATTTAATTTAAACATCAGAAATTTAATAATCAATCAAGTACTTCGCGAAGTAGATTTTCCGCTTCAGTAACAGATAAAAATAAGCATTAATTTTTTACAATGGTGGAAATATGCAAAACTGACTATTCTGTACCGAGGTACGTAATGTATGACGTTAGAAATAGCTTTTATATTAATTATAATAATGCTGCAGATAATCATAAAACTTTTATTTGCATATTATAGAAATTAAACGTGTTTAGTTTTAACTAGATATATATTATAAAATAGTAAAGTTTAAATTGTTAAGAAGTGCTCTTATTGTTTTCAAAATTCTTAAGCAATTAAAGAACGGTTATATTTAAAAAATAAATTAAAGATCTTATGATGTCGAAAGACAAAACTTTGAATATTGGTTATGCTCGAAGTGGCATATATGATACGTTAGAATATTTATATTTCGAAAAGTTGCAACATTTGCTAAGTGTGGAAGTTAAGTAAGTACATGGTAACATAATGTGACGAAAAAATTTGGAAGGACTGCCCTAATGACGATTTTTAACGTTAAAATTTACCTTTTTTTATTTTTCATTATCTTAATATCTGTTTTTGACATCTAAGTCTTGCACATTAATTCAGTTGTTAAACAAATAATTTAATTCTGAACTGTTCCTGTTCATGCTGTTAGCAGAAATTTAAAGTGCTTTTTCCTTTTATATGCAATCTTATTTTCATATACTCTTCTTTCATTAAAAGCTCTTAAACTTAATTTTGATTTCTTTTCATGAAAATTGGTAATTTTTTCGGTTAGTTAAATATTAATTAAAGGAAAAATAAAATTAAATATTTAAGTATTTTAGTTTCCCTTCGGTTACTTAAAATTCACAAGGATTTTCTGTGATTTGGACGTTCTGTTCAGTTGATAAAATTCGTGGTTCAGTATTAGGAGATCCTGTATTATGTCGTAGTTATTTAATTAATGCTGCGGAATGAAGACAACATATTGCTGTTGTTATGCCTAAGTTCTTGAAGAATTTATAATGCTTAATTTTTTTTTTTTTTTTTTTTTTTTTTTTTGATACAAAAATTTTCTAGACCTTATCTTAATTCTTGAAAATGCAATAGCATTCTTTGTCAGCGTAATTCATTACGTGTTGGATCAAATAAAGAAGATTTTGTACAAGAAATGTGAAACTTAACGTTAAGAAAAGAGGAAATCAGTTAATTCTAAAATCTCTAAAAATTTATTGATCTTTGAAGCATTCATTTAATTTTTTTCTGAAAAAAATCATTTGGTGTTAATTTAAATAATCAGTTAACTGATAAATTTGAGTTCATTAAAGCCTTCGCGTTAGAAATATGATATAAGGGCTTTTGATTGGCCTGTAAAATGAACATGCTGTTGGTATTGGTACTGCTGAAGTTTTATTTGTGGCTATTTCTAAACTTTTCTTGGTCGGTACGAGTTCAGTTTGAAATACATTATTCTGTAATGAAGAAAGAAGAGGCCATTTTATGAGAGGCATCGAAAAACTTTGCACTCCTGAGCGCGAAACATTGAACGAGTGCGACAGGCATTGCCTCAAGGAAAAGTCGCGAGCTATTTTTTAAAAAAAATTATCGTGTACCTATTTTTTAAGCATTAATATAAATCCTTTCAATTAAATTTATTTCATTTTTTATTTTTAAATTTTTATTTCATTTTATATTTTTAATTACAATAATATTTGGGTTTGTATTAATTATACATACTTTCTTTTAGTCTGAAATATACCTAACCCATTTTTTCCAAAGAAAGATAACTTTTTTGTCTTATTCGCAGTGTGTTGATGTAACCCACGCGTTCGGGAAGGGTAATTAATAAATATAAAAATGATGAAAATGATTTTCTCTCCGAGATTTTAAGTTTGGATGCATAAATTGCATCTGTTAAAATATCTCCTGTATTAAAAGTAAGGGGTAATCTTTGGAATATGGTAACAGGTAGTTTGGCGACATTTTGGTAAGGCGATAAAGGTTAGTAGCTAGGACTTTAGCAGTGTACATGGATAAAGTCAAGAGTGTGCGCAATGCCATTTTTGTGCAAGTCTGGGATGTTTTTTTAAGTGAAAATAGGTCGACCTGTACATGGATACTGTGTATATGTGTAATTCTTAAAAACGCGGCAAGCAGTGGGCGATTCTAGCACTTTCTCCCAATTTCGCACCTAATTTTCATCATGATTAAGCACTTTTGTTTCATAAAAGTTCTAGCAGAAGCGTAATTCGGAGCTAGCAGATTGTTAGGAAAAATGTTGAGGGGGAAAAAAAAAAAAAAAAGAAAAAAAGGTCTTTACTTCGTGAAAACAAAATGGCTTTCCCCCCCCCAAAAAAAACTAGCAGGTTGCTGTATCAGGGTTAGTCGCCATATTTTCGCCAAAAAATCGCCAAGTTACCATAATCCGAAGATTAACCAAAGTAAGTGGTGTGCGTGCATTTAAACTTAAAGCACTCTACTAAGGCGTTGAGAATCATATCCTGAAGTGCAGGTACAAAGAATCACAAGTTGTAATGAGCATGAATTCTTTATTTAACATTAAGGGGTATCAGCAACCCCTATACTGACAATGTTAAATTGTCCATTTTCGATGTACCTTATCTCAAAACCTGTTGTAGGTACACGCTTGAAATTTTTTGTGTAATTAAAGTATACCTATCTGATTATACTGAAATGAGCCTTTGAAACATTTTGAATTTTAAAGTAATTTACAGAATATTTTGTTAGGCATAGTAAAATTTAGCACTTTTCTCATACAAAAAAATTTTTAAATTTTGTTTTCTTAGTTTATCACAAAAAGCTCATTTCAGTAAATATTAGAAAACCTAATAAATAAGCCATAAAAATTTTAGATACCTGCGAGCAGTAGTTCCTGAGAAAAGATACATCGTCTATAAAAAAATCGCGTTTGGAGAAAAATGTGTTTTTATATAAAAATCCTCGTTTATCAAAGCATTCGATGACAAATTAAAACTAGATTTTTTTTACGTTTCTAATTTTCATAGAGTTTAAAGAATGGTATTTTTAAAAAGATAAAAGTGTAGAGAATTTGAAATGCAAAAATCCGAAATCACCATTTTTTGAAGATTTTTATCTTCCAACACGCCTTAAAAAATACACCATCTGTCCAAAAAGTTCCGAAACTGAAACGATGAAAACTAGAGAAAACTTCCGATGAAGGTTTTAAAGCGTCAGGTGTTCTACATAGTTTCTCTCACACACACACTTAAGTATAGTGCGCAGAACATTCATACAACCACATAAAACTCTCCTTGTTTGGAATATTATTCACCTTGCGTGATGTCACTGTGGCTTGAATGTCAGTTACGTCTGGATAACGTTGATCCTTCATGCGAAGTTTGATTTTCGGGTATGAAAAAGATTCACTCAGCACCGAATCGGCTGAATATGGCGGGTGTTTAAGAAATGCCACTTGTTTTTTCGCTAGAAACTGCAGCACAACACCAGCCGTGTGAGTGGGCACATTGTCGTGTAGTTAAGATCAGATCTCTCTTCTTCCATTCTTCCGGACGAATCGTCTTGCAAAACCGATCCATGACACTAGGAAATTGCATTCCCATTTTATCTCACGTATGTTTCCCGATTATTATTATATGCAGGGAAGGAAATCTGTTTCGGAAATTTTTGGACAGACAGTGTATGCTCAGCTCGAGTATGAAATGTAAAGTTGATAATTTCAGAAAAAGTAAAATTAATCATTAAGGTAAATGTTGAAAGCACTTGCATAAGGGTCTTAACACAATCCATTTGGACATGATATCAGTTCAGCTTGTTAGACGTACGGTGCTGCTTATCTCATCACAGCTCGCCAATTTTTACCCTTTGGTCCAGTGAGTTTCATTATGCAAAGTACCGAATATGCTGGCAACAAAAATGTTAAAATGAGTTTTATCGATTAATTACTGAAATCATTTTAATGAAATGTAGAGATAGTCAAAAAGATGTAAAAATCCTTCTAAGTAGTTTTTTAGTAATGTATTAAGTAATGTCCTATTAGAACCAATTCGGAATTTCTCATTTTAACGTAATAATTTTCCCCTTATACTTTTGAATTTTCCATTTTTGATAAATTCACATAATTATTATCCAACTTCTACAAAGTATCTATCTGAATTTTTGCTAGTCTCACATAAATTTCGTGTTAGATAAGAATAGGGCAAAAATTTCTTATCTGTTAAACTTCTTTCTGTATTAATATATTTAGAAAAATATGATGATGTTTTATTGCCATGATCAAACTAAGTAAAGTGCGCATACGCTTCATCAGCCCAGATTTGCTTGCTTTATATAAGGCTATCCTTTTATATTGACACATATTTTGAATTTTATACATATTATTATTACCTTATGTTTATTTGAATATAAATTATTATATATACATTCGTGAGGAAAATTAAGAGAATTCCCGAATCATGTCTGTTTTCATGAAAAGTATTGAACCAAAGGTCGCCGAAAAATTATGCTAATATTCAGAGTCGATACGTAAGTATAACACATGCATGTCTGCAGAGCTGTGATTGTAGAGGGAATATAACCACACGAGTTTTGGGCGATTTGTGTGCTAGTACTTCTTCATGACATTCGCTATGTTTCTCGCAAGAATTGGGTAAGTAAGATATCAAAAATGTGTAGCCACGAACGTATGGATAACAGAAGGAGACGGAGAGTTGTCGTGGGGGCAGGCTAATCACAAGTGCTGGTGACTACAGAGCTCATTGCAACGCCCTCTGCTGTCCGTAGTTTATGGAAACATTTTCAGAACACTCGATCCATATGGAGAAAACGTGGTGTAGGTCGACCAAAGTCTACAACAACACCTGAGGATCCTTGTTTGGCATTTTCAGTGCGGCGACGCAGGACTGCTACAGCTTCGCTGCTCTCACGGGAGCTGTATGCAGCCACTAGAAGAGTTTCACGGTCTACCATTGCTTAAGACTTCATGAGATAGGAGTGTATGCCAGAAGACCCACGTTTTGCTTGCCTCTTAGAGAAGCACACAAGAGAGCACGTTGGGCATAATGCAAACATGCTCTTTGAACCAGATACCAGTAGAGCACCGTGCCTTTTACAGATGAGTAGAGATTCGGCCTGGTGTGTGGTGTGGTGTATTTAATTATGGCAAAGCACACTAGGGCTATCTGCCTAAGGGGAGGGATGCCTTTCGTGGAGGACTTTCTAAGGGAAACTGGCTCGTATACACGTTACACATGGGGAAAACCACGAAAACGCCCATGCAGCCAGCCCGTTCGCGGGATTCGAACCTCGGACCGAACTACCAGTGTTCAGCGACTTTACCGCTCGGCCGCTGGTGGGCGATTCGGCCTGGATACTAATTCTGTGGGTACCTGTATCTGGAGAGAAAAAGGAACACGATATCATCCTCCCCATCATCAGGGAAAAAGGATTATTACGGTGATGTAAGTGTAATGGTTACGGCAGATATTTATGTTGGATGGCTACACACCATTGCATGTGTTTGACTAAGTCTTCCTGACTACTGTGAGGTATACTAATGAGATCTTGGAGTCCTGCGTTCGATTGTTCAGGAGCACAGTTTGACAATTTGTCCTGGGCTCCTGTTAATAGACGAAAAACTCGTCTAGCTGATCGAGCTGGTCGAGCATTACCTGGAAAGTGAGAATATTCGCTGCATGGATTCGCCATCCAAATTTCCTGATCTTAACTTTATAGAGCTAGTCTGGGACTCTGTTGGCAGAACTACACTCATGTCCATAAATTAAGGATAATGCAAAAATCAGGCAGAGGAAGAGTTAGGATCAAAACAAATTTGACTTATTTTAAAGCTTATTTATTAAACAAAAGGTAAAGAGCAAAAAAAGATGCTATATGTTTGATATTATTAAAAAAAAATTAGCAATTTTTTTCCCCTGGAGCAAATTACAAAAAAAAAAAAAAAAAAAAAAAAAAAAAAAACCTATTTACAAAAAAACAAATATTACATGGTTGGTATGATTTTTAATACATTGTATGTCTCCCAGACGGTGCAATACAGTCCGTACAATGCCTAGGCATGCTGAGTATCAAATTATCGATCTGATCTTGGGGCATATTACACCACTCAAAAAGCAATATTCTCCGAAGTTCCGGTAGACATGTAGGAAAAGGTTGACGGGCTGCAACTCGTCGACCAAGCGTGTCCCACACCTGCTCTACTGGATTCAAGTCCGGTGAGAATGCTGGCCAGTCCATACGGGTGATATCTTCCGATTGAAGGCATTCGCTTACGATGTTTGCACGGTGAGGACGGGCGTTGTCATCCATAAACACAAATTGTGCGCCCATGGCGCCCCGAATCAAACGTACATGTTGTTCCAGAATGACGTCCCGATAGTCATGTTTCCAATTTGAACATGCAGGTCAGTTCTGGAACCCAGAATAATTCCACCCCAAACAAGCACTCCTGCACCACCGTAACGGTGTAGTTCAGTGATGTTTTCTTGGTGGTAACGGGTACCTGGAGCTCTCCATATGAAAGTCCGGCGAGAATCAGACTGCAAGCTAAACCTGGACTCGTCGGAAAACATCAAACAAGCCCACTGTTGCGGTGTCCACAATGCATGCTCTCGACTGCAGGCTAACCGCAGGCGACAATGAGTTGCAGTAGATGGAACACAACTGACAGGTCTACGAACATATAGACCAATCTGCCCTAAGCGTCTGTACACGGTCTGCCTTGAAATTGTCGTACCAGTGACTGTAAAGAGCTGACGAGACAGGTCTGAGGCTGTGCTCCGCCTGTTTCGTTTGGCAGTAACTGCCAAATACCGGTCCTCATTCGGCGTTGTAACTCTGGGGCGACCTGTGCTGTAACGTCTACTCACATTACCATCATCTTGGAATCGTTGCCAAAGCCTGGAGATGACACTCTGCGCAATTCCAAGTTCGTCTGATACTTCCAGTTGGGTACGCCCACGTTCCAGACGGCCGATAATTCTACCACGTAAAAAATCATCCAAATGCGTCCTTTGTGTCATAACTATTCGGTTATTCCACTGAAATGCTTATAAAGCGCCTGCGGACAATTTTACTTCTTTGCCTGTATTCCTTATATATCACTCTCTTACACACTCGTCATTGTGACGTACCATCGGTGTCATCTGGTTACTTCCTGAAATTTGCATATGATTCTTGAAGATGTGTGTAGTGATTTTACAGGTGATATATTTATTTTAGAGTTCGATTTCCGCCTGACTCCGAATTATCCTTAATTTATGGACATGAGTGTATTTCATCTCGCTGTCCCCTCTCCAGGAGTTGAAAACTGCCTTGCTTGCAGGAGTGGTATAAACTGCCTCAGAGACTTCTCAACTGCATCATGTTGTTATGCCATCGCACTGTGCGACCTGTCTGGCTGTGTAGACTCAATTCAATATCACATTGTGGATTTTGGACACCCCTGCGCCATGAGCATTACTGATAGTCATGCGTACATAAAATGATTTTTTAATGGTGCATCTCTTTCTCTGATGTAAATGTACATTCATACTTAATTCCATTAAAAATCTCTCAGTTTTTTCAGAAATTCGGCATATTTGCGAATTCTCTTAATTTTGCTAGCTAGTGTATTAATATTGGTGTGATATCTTTTAATCAGGTAAGTTTTACCTATATAATTACTGTTTACGTTTCTGGTGATATTTTATTTTGATTTCTTTCCAGGCTGTTCCAAGGATGAAGTTGTCTGATGAAGAAAGGAAAACAAAACTTCAACCACTTATCGATGGAGGCTGGAGTTTAGTAGGTGGAAGAGATGCTATTTATAAAGAATTTATGTTCAAAAACTTCAATCAGGTATTTTTTTCTTTAAGTTTTACTTACATGATACATTTAAAAAATAATTTTTTATTGCAAAATTATTTTCCTAAGATAGTCTGGATAGAACTTCCCATATTTAGTCATTGGGTTTTAAAACGATTTAATAAGCTAGTCATTTACTGAAGAATTGAAAAAAAATTATACGTGATTTTTTTTCTTTTTTTTTTTTTTACTCAATCAGCGAATAAAGTTTATTTCAATGATATTTTGAGATTTTACAATAAGTCATTTCATAGTGTACACTAAATAAAAGTCTGAATTCGGTTTTTTTTTTTTTTTTTTTTTTTTTTTTAAATCTGTACTTGTTTTCTTTTTATTGAAACATAGCATAGATCAGACTTGATATCCGCAATTGTATAAAAAATCCGCAATTGTATGCATTAATTATCTAATTAATGCCTTCTTATACAATTGCGGTGGCAGCACTAATACTGATCTAGATAGATCTGATGACATATAAAGAAATGTTACATTTAGAATAAGTCAGATAAGAACTTAAAAGCTTAGTTATATGACGGTTAATTCCATCACTTGTTTTGCTTGGAAAGACAGACTTTGGAGAATTTGATCCAAGGCAGTAAGAAATGATTTTAGCCGTCGATGTGACACAGGCCTACAAGAACCTTTCCTAAGCGGACCGGCTGACCCGCCGGCGGAGAAAAGAAAGTTATATAGCGGTTGCATATCATGTTAATGAAATAACAACTCCTCTTACAAATGACAAAGCTAGGTAAAACCGGGATGTGTTTCGAAGTTTTAAAAGAAAATTCGGAATCAAGGCGAATTTTCCTTTAAGAAGCTTTTCTTTTCCTTTTTTTTAATATTAGATCTTGGAAATAACTGTCCCCACTGTTCCCAGCCGAACAAAGACCGAACTAAATAAAGAGCATGTTGTTCATCTGTAGCTATTGTATAACGCTTATCAGAACAGCATTAATATCGTCTGTGTTGTTGCTAAAGATCTTTGGCCCGAATTTCTGTCTTGGTAAACTTAATATTTTTTTTAATGGGCATGTGTCACTAAAATGATTCCAGCATGTTGAAGGTTCGAGAAGTCCGTGCTGTTTATACTCAAATCTTGATCCCGTCTACAGCAGAGAGAGGTAAAAATTACTCAACAGGCTGAAAATAAGGAATAATAAATTGGAAGATAGTTAAAGATTATATGTTGCGAATAAACTTGCTCCTACAGTGCCAAATAGATTACAAATTATAATCAAGCAGAATATTACCTCTCTCTGCTAGTAATCAGATTTACTGATGAGATTTTTAATTTGAAACCAGTTTATAGATCAGCATTTTTCAGATTCTTTGTCTATTCTACGCCTAGCTTTAAGGAATATGTCACGACTTTCGGGAAATAAACAAGCTGCTATCTCTTCTGGCTAAACTCATCTATTAGCGGCTCAAAAGTCTGTATTGATGCCCGTAAAAACTCAACACTCTTTGTGACGCATAACGAAGTAAAAAATTTCAAAACCGAATGCTTGATGTGCTGCAGAAATGGTGTAGCCATTCGTCACAGTAGAATATGAACTAAAGCTTCATAGTTTTGTTGCCAGGGACGTAGAAAATATTTCTTTGTATTCTTTGATATCTTTCAGATTTCTTTGGGTTTTATTGAGTCTGCATGCGTAGAGACATTTATTAGCCCAAAGGAACGTTAGCCCAGAAAGGCTATTAATCTCGAAACTGCATCTTGTGTTTAATATCTTAGAAGGAATATAAGCTTTTATTCTCGACGTAACATGTTAGGTTATTTTTTACAAAACTGACTATTTAAATTTCAGAATGCCATAATATAAATATTTTTGTTATTTAAAGGATTTTTTTTTTTTTTTTTTTTTTTGTGTGTGTGTGGTGTGTTTGAAAGTATATATCTACGACTAATGGTTGCGAAAATAAATGCTGCTTTAGGACTTTTAGGACACAGTGTATACTAAGATAAATTATCACGACGAAGTTATTAAATTGGCAGACATTGTCTAACAGTTTTCTTTGACAAAAATGGGAATTCATTTTCATTGAAAGTGCGTATTATTACGCCAAAGGGACAAATAGCCCAGAAGGGCTGTTAATTTCGTTTTGGCATTTTGTGGCGTTTCACTTTTCAAATTATTGCCACCAAATATTAGAGCCCTGCATTAAAGAAATTAAATAATAAAGAATCTTCATGAATGTATGTATGTTTCTCACACTGTGAAAAAACAACGGTACTAGATATATCAAATTTTAAATAACGTTGTCCTCCACTCGAATATGAACATCTGGAAGACCAAATTTGGAATTTGTTTTATTATTTGTTTCATATTTTGTAAAACTTTAACGAATTTTCGATTAACAAACTCAACGATTTCAAAGCGAGCAATGGTAATACTGTCCACCCCTCCGAAAAAAAAAAAAATCTCCAGCGCGCGAGACTGTGTACCGAAATTCTAAAGATATGCTCTTTTTAAACTATTTTGTAATATTGCTGTTGAATTGAATTTTGTGGTTTAAGTGCGAAGAACGTGATATTTAATAAATAAAGGTAACACACAAAACATAAAAAAAAAGGGGGCCCTTCATAATATAAAATTTGAAGACTTTCAGCTTTTCCTTTTTTTTTTTTTTTTTTTTTTTTTTTTTTTTTTTTGAATTAATTTTCTTATTTGAATTTGAAGTACTTTGCACAAACTTATTATATTTGTTACGTATACATAGGGGCTGTTGTTATATTTATTATATGCGTTTGTTGCCATTAATAATATAGTCTTGTTTTGTAATTGTTTCATAATTGCAATAATTGTTGTGTTTTATTCAAGGCTTTCGGATTCATGACTCGCGTCGCAATGCAAGCTGAGAAGATGGATCATCACCCTGAATGGTTCAATGTTTACAACAAAGTTCAAATAACTCTAAGCAGCCATGATGTTAATGGTTTATCAGAAAGGGATACACAACTTGCAACCTTTATTGAAAAAGCAGCTGAATCCATGGCCGGAAAATAAAATGTTTGTCGCATTATGGGTGTCTGTAAAGTGTAACTGGTTGTTGTAAATTTTCTTGGCCTCTGTAAACTGTGTTTGTAACTGTAATGTTTACAGCAATTGTATGTCTAGTTAACAGAGATGATTGTTCCTGAAAGCTTGATGTGATTCCTAAGACCTTACATAATGTAATTCCTAACGTTTATCAAATGAAGCTGTTCTAACAATACCAGTTAAGAAACGAACAGTAAAAAGAAGTTGTTTAAAATAATATTTTATTACTTGTTTTGAAAATGATTTTTTTCTTCCAAATGTAATTTAATAAAATGCATGTAGGTTACGTAAATGTAATGACAAAATATCTTTGTATTGCATTCTTACAGCAAAAATCTTATAAATCTTTCAAAATTTCGTGAAATGCTGGAGAAAGTTGTAGATTATTGTTATGTTGAAAATAAGTTTGTAAGCTTATAAATTGTAAAATTTATTGCTATGTTTTCCCATTTATAAAACAATTTTTTTTCCTCTAGAAAATTATATTTGAAATTGTTGAAACTCTTTGTGATGAAGCTAAACTTTGTGATAAATAGTAAATAATGCTTTAAATGTTTTAAGGAATGATAATTATATGTCATTGTTATGTGTTAGATGATGCAACAGAAGTCAATGTCTGTTCTTTTTATTTTTGTATAAAAACATCTTTTACATTTAACGCCAAAAATGATTCAGATTTAAACTCAGTTCTTGTTTTATATAATAGTAATAGTGGTCTGTTACGTAAATCTTTTAAATTATGCAGTATTTTTTGTTAAAAATCTCAATTTTTTTAAGTGTTTCTTCTCTTGTCTTAAATCAGAAACGTCTGGTGATGCATTCATGAAAAAGCTAATAATAAATTTTAAAACACTCAGGGAAAGTTTATAAAAATTTCAAAGTAATCCCTTATGTGTAGTTCCTTGTTAAAACCATTTATTTATCACTTTTTATGTAAACACAATTTATTGTATAATTTCGGATAAATTTTTATTAAGACTTCATAATTTCTGTAAACTGAATAATTTAAATCACTTCATTCCCTTTTCGCAAATGTCCTTTCGCTTTTTGTTTTAAAAGAGGAGGGGGGAGATGTTGTATTCCTCTCAATTATTGTGTTGTTATACATATTTCAGCAGATTATTTTATTTTTTAATTTTTGAATAGGAAACAAGCTATATATTTTGAATTATAGATTTTGCATGAAAAATTAGTTTTAAATTTAATATTAGGCTGTGTTTTGAAGTACTTGACATGTTAAATTGTCTCATTTAGTGCCAATTTTCTTAAACGTTTTGTATGAATTTTTATTAAAGGTTTTGCTGATGTTGTATTTTACTTTTCCACTGACTGTATTTTACCATAAGTTCGGATTTAATGGAAATTGAAAAACAGGTGGTGGTGTATTTAATTATGGCAAAGCACACTAGGGCTATCTGCCTAAGAGGAGGGATGCCTTCGTGGAGGACTTTCTAAGGGAAACTGGCTCGTATATACGTTACACATGGGGAAAACCACGAAAACACCCATGCAGCCAGCCCGTTCGCGGGATTCGAACCTCGGACCAAACTGCCAGTGTTCAGTGACTACCGCTCGGCCGCTGGTGGGCCCATTGAAGAACAGTGCGTTTTCTTATCTGAGATTTTAGCTGTATACTTTATTTTATTTCAACTGAAAATTTTTAATATTTATAACTATTCTTAAATATATTTTATTTTAGTACCAATTTAAAAAAAAAAAAGACCAATTTAAAATTCAGTATATAATCACTTTTTTTCTTAAACTTTCTAACGTATATTTAGCTTGCACTTGGCTTTTAAATATTTTTAAGCTTGCAAAGAATGGAAATTTTGTTTTTACGCATCCTGTGACGAATTGTATGCCAGATCGAAGGGCGACCTCGCAAGCAGCTAGCAAACAGTAAAATAGAAAAATAAATACTGTTAAAATAAAAAGTATATAATAAGTATTTTACTCACTAGAAACTACACAAATTACTTCTTAACCAATTTGTTTTCATTTCATTGTTTATTCTATACGATTTCAAATATTTCTTTTTCGAATGCAAAACTGTGCTTTGCATTTTAAATAATAGTTTATACTATTATTAGTATTTTAAATAATAGCTATGTGTACAAAACTAATTTAAACTTTAATATGGTGATGTATTTGAAGTACTTTAAATTGTTCATTTAGTGCCAGTTTTCTTGAGAATTTATGATTAAAATTTTTGTATTATACTTTTATTTCCCGCTGACTGCATCTTACATTCAACCAACGCTTTGTTTCTGAAATTCTATGGAAAGCCGTCAGAAGAGAAGCAAAAAATAATTAAAGTAAGTAATAAAAAAATAAAAGTAATTAATAGTTATTGTAATTTAAAATTCAGTAGAATATAAAGAAATAAAATTTAATGAATGGTTAAATTAACGGTAACTAGTTTAAAATAAAATACCGGATCTCGTCGTGGCTCCGTCATAAATTACGGCCCACCAGGCAGCCGAGCGGTTAAGTCGCTAAACACTCGTAGTTCGGTCCATGGTTCGAATCTCGGCGAATGGGCTGGCTGCATATGCGTTTTTATGGTTTTTTCTATGTGTAACGTGTATGGGAGCCAGTTTCTTTTAAGAAGATCTCTACGAAGACATCCCTTCTCTTGAGCAAATGGCTGTCAAGTGCATTGCCGTAAATAAATAACCCAAATCATAAACCAGTTTAAATTACGATTTCATATGTATATGTGCGTGCGTATGTATGTATGTACAATAATTTAAAAATTAAGAAATAGTTGAGTTGGATTCTGGCAGAATGTAAACCCTGAATATACAGCTAGATTAAGGCCTAGACCTTGCCCGATAAGCCTATTGCACATATCCTGAATATGCGGTACTTCAATGTTCATTGTTTACAAATTGAATGTTGCTCTTATTCCAAAATGAAACAAAATTTAAAAACAGAAAATTGCATCATTTCCGTTCTCAAAGATGTGATTAGTTAACAAGGTACGGAATCACTTATCTTTAGAACGATTTCGAAGCCGTTTAGTTAATGTTCAAAATGTAAAGAATACATTTAGATGTTTGATAAATAGCCTGTTGTGATTTCCATGACAGAAGAGCTTTCCATAATATTTTCAGGGGCATTGATTTCCATTTCTCTTCCACTACTTTCCAGAGTCCCATCAGTCGGGGGGGGGGATTGCGCTTAAAAAGAGCTACTTTCAAAAAACCAAAGACACAATAAACAAGGAGGAAACGTCAAGGAACTTCGCAGGAACATGTTGAAATGGAATATATGCAATATTAGTATCAGTCTTCATTTTCTGAAGGAAAGCAGTGGTACTTTTTGAAGCATAACTTGCTGCTTTGTCTTGATGAAGTTCCACTCTTTAAAAGTCAATGGAATAAAGAAATGGAAATTTCTTCTGTAAATATTGGACGTAGGACGTTCTCTGATTTTAGCATTTTCCCCATTTTTCTTATTTTTAATTTCCCATTGTAAGATAATCCTGCAAGAATCATAAACCAGGTGCTGAAAATTTCTTTGCATTGATGGAACCAGGTTTGCAAATCTTTTAGTCTTTGTTAAATAATAAAAGACTTTCCCTCAGTCAAGGTAAACCCATGATTAAGAGTTGCAATATACACTGGTGTGCAAAACTTAAGCAACAATGTAAATTTTAATCAGATAGCCATTAAATTGTAGAAAAGGGGTTCTTGCATTCAGTACAATGAACACGCAATTCGGTAGAAAGGTGATGTGTATGCAAATGTCAAGAAACAAACGTCACAGGCTACGTGAGCGTACGCAAAACGCGTACGGTCGGCGTGCTCAACTCGAGACTACCATAAAAGGAAGGATAGAGACGCAATTAGACATTCGCTGCAAGTACAGGGAGTTCTTTCGTGAAATATGGCTAGAAGAAATGATCTGGATGACTTCACACGTGGAAAATAATCGAAAATCTGGAGTAGGGGCGAAGTGTTACCAGTATAGCAGAAGAGTTCGCAATCAACAAAAGTGTCGTTTCGCGCGCTTGAAAAGCCTTACAAACCATACGGACGGCTGTTAGAAAGGTTGGTGGTGCCCGCCCAAGGAAAACAACTGCAGTGGATGACCGATATATTGTCCTGCAGGCGAAAAGAGCCCAAAACCAATCACCACACTCCATAGTTCAACAACTGTACAGCAACGGGGCGACAAGTGTCGCGGTTTTACTGTGTCCAGACACCTTCACAAAAGTGACTTATTCGCCTGCCGTCCTGAACGCTGCATCCCTTTGAAAGTTGGCCATCGGCATCACCGTTTACAGTGGTGCAAGAAGGGCAAAAACTGGGCATCTCATCAATGGAGTCGTATCCTCCTTACGGATGAGAGTCGTTTTAGTGCCACAAGCGATTCTCAACACAAATTGATTTGGAGAGAGGTCGGGATACGGTTTAATCTCAGTAACATCACGGAAAGAGACCGTTACGGTGTCCTGAAGATCTCGTCTGGAGAGGCATTATGCTGAACGGGCGGACAGAGCTCCACGTTTTCGACAGAAGTTCTGTAACCGGAGATCGCTATTGTCAGGAGGTGATTCTTCCCCATGTGCGTCTGTTCCGAGGTGCCATTGGAGCAGATTTCTTTTTTATGGATAACAATGCACGGCCACACCAGACTCTTGCTGTTCAGAAGCTACTGAAAACTGAAGATATTATTCGAATGGATTGATCAGCGTGCTGCTCTGATTTAAATCCCTTAGAACATGTGTTGGATACTTTGGGGAGATGCCTTGTGGCACGATTACATCCTCCGGGGAACACCCAGCAACTGAAACAGATGCTGATTGAGGAATGGGCACTCTTACCTCAAGATCTGTTGGACAATCTGGTGCTGAGTATGGAGAGACCTTTCGAGCAACCATTGCAGTAAGGGGAGGGCATATGCCATAGTAAGGAACATCTGCTTGTTGTTCTTCCTCATGTACAGACAATCATGTATAACGATACTATGAGTTCAATAAAGCCTATTTTTGTTTGATTTCATACTGTATGCATTGTATTCATTTTGTAACGCAATTATGCTTTCGTCATCGTTTAAATACAAAATGCTGTCTCTTAATTCTGAATTTCATGTCTCTCAGATGATTTCTCGTGGAGTTATGCAAAAAAGAACACCTATTGCTTAAGTTTTGCACACCAGTGTAGATACAGGGTTCTACGAATTGTTCAGCGTTGAGCTCTGGGGAATAAGTATCAATAAAATATACAGGATATAAATAGGGCTATGTTCCTTGCTTAGCAAAGTGCCATATCATGGTTTTTAGCTATTTCAAGTTGTAAATCTTGGTTTATTATATTATTTATTGCTTTTAACGATATTTTTAAAGACTTCAGGACCGGTACCAGAGCTGGTTCAACCAGTATTATGTTTAATTATATAAATAGGACTATGTTCCTTGCTTAGCAAAGTGCCATATCATAAAAAATGCATGCACTGACGTACAGAACCGGTGCCAGAGCCGGCTCAAACGACAGACAGCAATACTTTTGAAATTTAGAAAAACATCGCGCTGTAAATTTAGGGATTGCAAGATCTATAGAATTTAAGAGAGACACTGAGCAACAGAATTTAGGAGAGGCAAAATTTTTAGAATTTAGGGAGGTACCGTTCAGCAGAATTTAGATTCCGCAGAGAATGCACTGTGTGGCAAAAAGCCTAGCGCCGAATTCCCGTATATTCATGAATTCAACAATACATGTGGAATATAAATTTAATGACTCCTGTTAGCATAATCCTGATAAGTACTTAAGCATAAGTACATTTCGAAATTTTTTTGATTATTTTTAATCATGATTATATTTTAATGAGAGCTATCATTTAAAGCATTTGAAACATTATTATAAATTTTAGGAGGAAACACTGTAGTTGAAGGTTAAATCCAAAAATCAGTAAACTTTTCTTTTTACATTGACTCTCCAAAATTGTTTTCTTTTTCCTTCACAACTGAAACGCCGCTTTAAAAATTTTCCGCCGTTTTCCGCTGAGATTCAAGTAGTTAAAGAACATCAATTTTCCCGATTGGATATAATCTTCACGAGGACAGATATCAAATTCCCAAATTCTGGTTCTTTGTAAAATTTCCATAAAAGTTATCCGAGCAGCTTTACCGCATGCATCCTGAAGACCTTCCGCCATGCAGCCGACAGCGTATGTTAGTGATCTAAGGAAAAGAATAATAACAGTTATAAGCAACAGACTCTGAAAGATGGACTCGTCTTATATTGTTGACTATTTTGCAAGGGAACTGATCATAAATGTTTTAAAATAAAAGCTGATTAGCTTTATCAACTAAGTAACAACAAATAAAACAACATATCGAGCAAAAACCATTATAGTATGCTTGCACCTTTATGAAAAACCTGAACATTAATTAACATTTACAAAGTAGGATCAAACGATTGTTTAACGCGAAATTATTGATAATTTTCAAACTCAATAAAATATACAGGAAGTTTCAACAATTCGGTTACAGACTTTCAGGAGAGATAGAGTACACCTAGACGATGGAAAAACACGTAGCAATTGCATGGTCGAAAACACTTTCCTGTCGCAGTAGTGACGACACAAAACACAAGAAAGGTAGGACACGGATAGGGTGAGAATATATGTTTATTATGCTTAGTGCAGCGGAAACCAAGAAATAAGAACAAAAGCAGAGGATCGTCATTAAAGAAGGCGTTCGAAATTAGGACCCCAAACCGTGATGTAGGAACCATACGTCATGCATCTTCCATGCGCCGGAGATGTGAGGCATCATGGTCCGGGGTCGTAATTTCGAACATCTTCTTTGATGACTATCATTGCCTATTTTTGCTCCTAGTTCTTGATTTTTTTGCTGTACTAAGCATAATCTCCCCCGCGGTTTGACTCAGGAGAATTCCTTGGAGGTACTGGCTAGGATCTGTACTTAGGCAGTCTCAACCACAGGGTATATAATTTGTCTTTACAGGACTAGAACCCGAGTTTATTCTCAGGTTAGTTCAGGCTTGGCAGGGACTGTACTGGTACTGTCGTGTCTGTTCCTCTGGCTGTGGTGGAGCTAGATTGTGGTTCTTCGACCTTTTCGACGGGGGTTAGGCCGCCAGAGTCCCAGTGCCGGGGACTGACGAAGTAAGGCCAGGCACCTATACGATTATTCAATGCCGATGGAGTGGTGCCCGGAGGCAAAGATGACCCAGCGAACATTTTTGTTAAGTAAAGCGTTTGATGCTTATCCGAGGCTACGTATAAAGCCGGGCAGGGACTGTGGGGTTTGGGCCCCGTTGAGGGGGTCTCTGAAGCTTGGATACATTAACCCTGTATGGTAAACCCGTGGTCATCCTTCAGGTCGTGGGTCCTCGCTTTGGCGCTCTGTACTAAGCATAATAAACATGTTTCCTCCCCCTATTCATGTTGTTCAATATTTGTGTTTGTCACTCCACGCCAGGAAAACCTTTTCGACCATGCATAGTTCGATCATGTAATAATGCATTCGACCATGCATTATTACATGCAATGAATAGTTAAATTATATATAAAAGTAATATAAAACTAATGACTACAAGGAAAGGATGACTTATCTCAGTTTTATAGAAGTAATGTGATTAACTTGTTACTTTTTATCATTCTTCAGATGTAATAATAAGCAAAACATTTCAAAGACAAAGAAATGAAGAATATTTACTATAAGGGCAAGGCTTTGGGCTTCAGTTTGAGCACACTGTGTTCGGCTAGGCGTATAGTAAATGATCCAGGGAGAAATGCCGCGAAAAACCCTTGTGACAATCCCATGGCTTCATTAGAGACAAAATGTGTTAGCCTATCTGTTACATGCTAGTAGAATAAATTTTGTAATTATTGAGATGTAAGAGATGGTGTTAACTTTGAAAGAAATGGCATGCAAGCAACAGAGTTAAACGTTCCATTCTATTGGTATGTTAGATATAAACTTTAAGAGATGGTGTTAACTTTGAAAGAAATGGCATGCAAGCAACAGAGTTCCATTCCATTCTATTGGCATGTTAGGTCCCAATCACATTATGTTTCGGCTACGCGGGACTTGACGTCGAAAGGGACAATTCTAAGAACCCGCGCAATTCCAGGAAACCCACGTAGCTAGGTTACTATTCTCACTTACTACAATGACTTGAACGCCAAACAGTAATCGATTATCGCTCAAATCTCTTCTCGTCTGATTATTTGTCTCTACCCGGGACCCGAGACATTTTCGGTGAGGTTTGAAAAAATCCCCCGTAGCCGCAACATTTCTTCTGTAGCTAGGCGGGACTTCGCTTCAGGCGGTGCTCTTTTTTCTAGGAAACCTCCCGTTTAAACCAGTGCAAAGAATCTCTAAGGAGAAGAAGTAAAGGTTTCCCGGGGCAAATGTGGCTCCGTCAGACCGAAGAGACACATCATGTATATCCCTGAAGCTTACTTTAAAGGGGCAAACCATTCCAAAGCTATCCACCCTCCGTACCTCACTGCGCATGTGCAAAGCAGCATCAAAGAATGCAGCATGCCGTCAGCCATGTTAGCAATCTTTTACCACGTTGTTCGAAAGCGTTCTTTGTTGTTGTAGTCAGAAGTACTTGGTTTTAGCTATGTGAAATTCTTTTAAAGACTTTTTAAATGCAATGCTGTAAGTGAAATGGTTTTGGCTATTGGGTGAAAACTTTGCTCTTGGTTTTCACAATGGTCATTCCAAATAATTGTCTAAACGTTTTCATGGTAATTTGTTTTTAAAGTTGTTGTCGGATAATTATAATGTATTTCAGTGTTTGAATTTGCTTTTAAAATTTCACTGTAAAATTTTAACTATGGATCCATAAAAATTTATTACGTTTTGTATGGCATGTGTTTTTCCCCCTTTTTAAGTTTACAGAAGAAAAGAATTAAGAAATTTATTTCATTTAAATTTTGTCTTCGTACGGCTCGCTGTTTAAATTGAAAGTAAAAATTGAACAGGATTTCTACAATTCGCCCCAAACTTCCAACTAACATCCTTTTGCTCATAAAACTCCAGAAATGTATGAAAATAAAACATTTTGAGTTATTTCAAAGTAAAATATTTACTATCTCCTCTAACTGCGCTGTTTAAATTTCACCCTGCGCTGGTGTTTCACTGCATAGCCGTGGCTCTTCGGTACAGCGGCGCAGAGCGAAACAGGTTTACATTGCGTCTATGGAAGCTTTCATTCTTCTCCTTAGAGATTCTTTGACCAGTGCTATCAGAATCTCGTTTCTCAGAAAAGGCCGTGTGTAGCCGTGTGTGATAAGGGTTTTAGAAATAAACTTTAACTGGTTTCAAGAGTATTGTTATCAATCATGTTGCTGTTCTCTAAACATATGCTAAGAACGATTCATCATCAAAATCTGATGGTTCTTAGTTCATTTTGCAGACTCAAATCATCATATTTAAATTTTCTTTTTAATGGCGGGCACTAGCAATTTTTAGGCTTTCGCCACTACTAAGGCCAGAAGTGGTGATCATTTCATTAAGGAGGCACCTAATAGATTGGCACCCTTGCCTCCTATGAGGGAACAGATAATTTACGTCCACGCATTTTCTTGGATTCGAACCCAGGCCCTTCGGTATCGCAGTCGGTTTCTTTAACCACTATACCGTCTGGGTGGTTGCATTTAAATTCTGCTGCCGTCCAAATCTGCTACCGATGTTTTTGTAAACTTCAGATTTGCAGTCCTTGCAGAAATTTCCCATTTAAACTCGTTAAGAAAAGATCCTTCCGACTATCTTGTTTCCTTTCACTTCGTCTCAATAGATTTTCACTATTATGGGATCATTGAAACCTTCCATGTTACCTTCCATGCTTAAATGTATTCCTATAAACATAAATTTTTAAGAACTCAATTCTTGATTGCAAATCAAAGGAAAGTGAGTGAGTGAGCGCCACCAAGGAAGACCACTGACCTGGCCTTAGCCTCACAGTGTGATATCTTCCTGGCAGAAACCATCTACTCTCTGCTCCACCCTGCTCCGGGAACGCAGCCGAATAAACGGCTATGAGCCTCATAAAGTCCATATGTAAGCTTGGGTGTTGTTGTACGGGGAAAGAGAATCCTGTTAGGAACTACTTAAAATTAAGCAAAGAAGCAATCAAAAGACTGTTAAGAATCGCTGTTAGAATAGACAGAAACTTGTGTTAGATAAAGTAAAGATACGAGGACTCTGCCTGAAAAATGAACTGCCGTGGATTTTCTGGACTTGCTAAATGTCTATATGCGGGTGCTAATCCTGACACAACTGTCATATATTTATGGGGCTTTTGTAAAATCGTTGGTCCTGCATGGAGGAAAGGTGCAACCTATTAAATTATTGCACATAGTACACTTAAAAAAAAAAAAAAAAAAAAAAAAAGAGAGAGAGAGAGATTAAAAAATTATTAAAAAAATCCTAGCGCCCAAACATAATTTAACGCAGATTCAGATTACTTTCCTATGTGCCTGACTCTTATGTAAGAACATTTAAAAGATTGTATACCTGTTATCACTAAGATAGCAAATTCCTACATAATTTAGCTCTTTGCGCATACTTAAACTGTAGTTGTTTTACAAATTGAACCATTCACCTACATTTTCTTTCGTAGTACTTGCAGACAGGATAATACATACATAAGTACAAAACTGAATATTAAAGTGAAAAAAACTCACATGATACTGAGTACAGAAATACAGAAAGCTGATCCCTAATGCCTGCATACATAACACTTAAAAATGCATACATAATACATGGAAACTAAAACTAAAACTGATAAACATAATACATAAAACTGATCATTAAGTAATGCTATGTAGTCTAAATCCTAGCCAAGTACGAACTAACCTTCATAGTACATGCAGAGAAGGAATAAATACAGACTTGAGTACTTTAAAGTGAACATAAACAGAAAAGTACAGCACCATACTCAGTAATACTGATATCTGATTCCAAACACTTGAATACATAATGCTGATACATAATTACAAAGAGAAACCTTACCTACATTAATTCCATAGTTAGTTTTATCACCTTAGAACATGCACATAATTTATAAAAAACATAATTAAGCACGTAATGCTGATCACTAGGGAAGAGATTCAAACATGCAATTGATCACATAAAAACAGATATCTCTTCCCTAAAATTTACATAAAAAGTTGAATATTTATTAAAATTAAGAAGGCAAAAATGCCATACCAATAATAATATCATTCACAAACTTAAGTTGAGGTGATAACATAAGTTGACCTTGCCCTTCTTGAACCTATTTATCACAAACTTGCAATTTAAATACACGATTAGTAAGTGTAGGAAAAACTCATTGCTGTTGAAGATTTTACTGGCTCAATCTGGTCTTGCGAATCCTAGACCTGAACATTAATTGCAAAAGTAAACATTTTAAAGAATATAGGCAGGTTGTTGCCATAGTCCTAATTATCTAAGTTAGTCTTGGGTTGAGAGGTCCGAGGTGTGTGCCCCGCATACTTATCAGATTGATTTAGTGTGATTTATACATTTTATGATTCAGAGCGCTAAGCACTTGATTATTTCTATTTGGGGACACTTATCGTCGTATCAGAGAATAATTTCTCTGACAATGGCTGATTACCGCTTGTAGCTTTTTATTTGCTGGTTGTTTGTTCTCATATTTGCCGCCCATTGTGGCCAGTAAGCTTGACTTGGCTTTCTTATATGGTACTGTGCCGTGTTTGTGCAGTGGAAGACGTAGTGGTCTGGATCCCCCACCTCTCCAAATTGACATCTTTCTGTGTCACTCAGGCTGAATCTATGCAGATAGGTCAGGAATGGGCCATGACCTGTATAAAACTGTGTCTGACTACCATTGCAATTAAACTCTAGCGTTGTTTTTGGGAAGAACATATATGTTCTCCTTCCTGTATCTGCTGTGTCCCATCTGGCTTGCCATCTGTCTATCAGTTGTTTTAGAGTGATCTTTTTGAGATGTGACCTAGGTAATCCGGCAGTTCTGTTCTTGAGACCTCCTTTGCCGCTTTTTTGCCAGGGTGTCTGTTTCCTCATTGCCTTTAATGCCCACGTGAGGCATGGCCTTTCTGATGGTAGAAGACTGAGGAGGATTTTTCTAAGTTCTTGAATATACTGGCTTCTGCTTTTGTAACCTTTGATTGCGTCAAGGCTAGAGGCAGAATCACTATAAATAGTAATTTGGGTAAGTCTGTTCCTCTTCACATAATTAATCCGCTGCTTTAAGTGCTGCCAGCTCAGCTTGGAATACTGAGTTCCTACTTCCAAGTCTTCTTTTCCATTTATACACAACTGCATCACCTTTTAAAACGCAGAAGCCACTGCCAGTACCCGTCTCGGTTTTTGAGCCATCTGTAAATATAGCTGTGTGATTATCTTTTGGTGTCACATAGTGGCCTAGAATACACTTTTTTAAGTTAATTTGATTCTCCTTGTCATCCTTACCACTGATATATATTAAGTTAATTTTGAAAGATTTTTGCACGCAGTTTGAGCTACTTTCTCATGTCCAGAAAGCTGCATGCAAAATGGACTTGGATACATGGACATACATGGTCAGATATCGAAGACCTTCTGAGGGGAATTGGCTCTTGGCTCTCCTCGGTCGGTACAGAGGGACGGGGATGTCTGACTTTTGTAAGTTTAGAATATATTTTAGTACTGTGAGAGGGAGTGGTGCCCGATCACGGGAACGAAGCGTTGAAGTAGTAGCCGAGGGTTGAGGATGGGCCCTGTGGATCTCTTCGTGATGGTTACCCGTCGGCCTTCTTCCTTCGCTGAATTTATCTAGGGATTTTTGTATATGTATCGACCTGACTCTGTATCGACCGAGGGGGTGGCGCCCTCTTGGATCGTCTCTGGAGTCTCAGTTCTAAAACTTTGAAAAGGGAGATCCAAGTCGTCCAGGGCAAGGACTCCGACTCTGGCGTTAATGTCAGCTTAACAAATATTCCGCTTATAGGGATATGATTTGTGCGAGTAGACGAAAACAGTCAAAGAAACTTACTTGAGTCAACATAATTTTCAGTTTTGTTACTTTTACATTACTATTAAAGGTTCCAAAATGCTTTTATTCTCTTCTGGACTTCAATGATTCTCTTTCTAGCTTTCCATTACTGAACACGTACTGAAAAATTTCATAATCTGGCATGGCGTTTTCCTAAAGACTACAACTGGGATGGCTTTTTCATAAACTGGCATGACTTTTCCCAAAACGTTTTCCTTCAATATTTTCATAACGCTAACCTTTCGTATTTAGATGCCATCGTGATTATTCACAGCAACTATGACGAACCTCTTAGATAGATACTTATTCAGACTAAAACGAAATTACTGCCCTCTTTTTGCAACTCCTCAGATGCTTACAAACTCAGAATTCTTACTCTTATCTTCATCAACATATTTATTTTTTGAAGAAGTTCGACATAGAAGGAAGTCATTTCCTTTATCATTCGATCTCTTAGAACTTTTGTCTCAATGTCGAATTTCTAAAAAAACGTTTTGATAAAATCTTTCCCGTCGACTATGGAAAATCCCTGTTCTCCGGTTTGAACTACGCTAAGCGTTAGCCCAGAAGGTCTGTTACTCTGGAACGGCATGTTTCTCGCATTGTGAAAAAACAGCGGTACCTATAGCCATCTAATTTTGAATAACATAGGCCTCCACCCAAAACTCTGCACTTGGAAGCCCGAATTTTGAATTTCGGATTTGTCTTATTATCTTTTTCATATTTCAGCTAGGAATGGGAACATTGTACTGGAAAAAGCATTTTTATCTCCAGCGTGCCAGTCTATCTGCTGGAAATTCTAAAGATATGCTGTTTTTAAATATTTTGTGCTTCAACTACGAACGTTACAAAAATAATGACCATAATATAAAATCTGAGAGGTTTCAGATTTTTATTAAATAGTGTTTCTCTATAATCTTATATAGCTATGGCACATTTTTTTGTTTATAAGAAGGCTGCAAAATTCTGTAAAGTAACAAATTAAAGAAAATCTTAGAATTTTATAACTAATTAAGATAATTTAAATTAAGCTTAGTTATAAATAAATTCACTTACAGGCACTGAGGATTTACATCAGAAGTATTTCCGCTTTGCAGAAATTTGCGAAACTCATCTCTTCCTTCTTCTATACAGTTCTCTCCAAATTTTTTTAAGTAATTATTTGCACAAGGAACAGTTTTGATGTAATCTGCGGAATGAAACAAAAAGAAACAAGAATTTCAATGTTTTTGTTACATTTCTCACATATCTATGCATTTACTATCAGAAAAAATTTTGTTGAGTCTCGTGTACTTTGGCACCATCAAATGTACAAAACATCTAATCTAAGACTTTGTAACGTTGCGCGCCTCCAACTTGCACGCAACCAAGAGATGACTGTGAAAACTGTATAAAACACAGAGTCTTGTGAAGGGTTTAAGTCCCTTTTTATTCAACGTAAAAATTACAATTGCGTGCTCTTGACGCTCACAGACTGTGCCAACTCGGCAGTCAAATAAAAATAATAACCTGAAAAGAAACTAAAGACAAGACTCTAACTACGAGGCTCTCTAAAATAACTAAGTCACCGCGTTTTACAACACCGCTGCTAATTCAGCAGACTTGAAGCTCGCTTGAACGATTAACACTACTTCCCGCCAAGCACATAGGCCGAAACGCGGGGTTCTTCAATTTCTCGCTAACTACCTCCGCGCTCGTGAAGTAAGAATATCACCCGAACTCGTTTCCTTCTATTTAAATCAGAATACTTCCGCTGATAATTTGAATCCTTGCGCGTTCTACTAAAATTTACATATTCTGGAATTGGCAGTTCCAGGGGAAAGTAAGGCTTGACAGGAAAGATAGTTTAAACTTAAAATAAATGTTAGTTAAAATAAATATAAACCCTACAACTTAAAACTGTAAAAGACCCTTTTATTTAACTGAATTAAAAGTTTAACAGAAAACACTGCCCGTGCTTACAAAACAGCCATGCTGGCTGCTTTTGCTTAAACTGATTTAAAGTAAATGCCAGCTACCCCACCGGCTTCACAGACAGAGAAACGCGCAAGTTGGCTCTGACTTAAATTCGGCGTGACAAGCTTAATGGCGGGAACAACGCAACTCTTCAGAATACTGCTCAATCAATTAGCAAACGCGGTCTTCAGCAGAAGGAACACTCTCTGATTCTACCCTCTAAAACCTTTCTTTAAACACTATCTCTTTTCTACCTCATATGAATACACGCCAACTATAAATTTACATTCTAGCAGGGAAATGGGAAGCCAGAAAGACAGTAAAGCAATTTAACATCAAATAATTGGTTAATAGACCGAAATGAATCCCTATCGTTTCTTCGGAAGAAACCTATACATTTTTAAGATAATTAAATGCTGCAGATTTTGGCGTATTGTTAATTAGAAATGCTGAAAATTATTCACTATTAAAATAAAAAAATTCTTGATAATTGTAACATTGTCCCGTATCTTTTCAAAACTACACATAGTTATAATTTTTTTTTTTTTTTTTTTTGTCAAACTGGCGTAGTATCGGAACCTGGTCATCAAGTTTCATGCCAACAGATTTGCCTTAAACTGCCTGGCATAGTTACAAATCAGGTCCTTTACCCTGAATAATGGGAGACGAAGAAATTAAACCCGCGAGGAACGGGACGTTCTGTCCCAGTTTTGAAGGAAAAGAACACCGTAGAACTACCCCAAGCGGACAAAAACGTTGTGGAGAAAACAACGCAAGGCGAAAACATCGTCGTACAGCACATCGTGGGAGAAAACAAAGCACGGGGGAAAACATCGTAGTATAAAAACATCCTCCTCAAAAATAATGCGGTTCAGTAATATCGCAGTTTTAAAACATCGTCGTAAAAAATATCGTGATAAAAATAAAGCACCTACAAATTATCGTATGACAGTAACGTGACAGCTATATGTTTTTCAGGTTTAAAAACTAAATATAAATCCATGTAATATATGACATAAGAAAAGCAAAATGTAGCAATGTCTATATATATACAGGGCGATTCTAAATTGTTTTTACAAATTAAAGAGGGGTGATAGTATTCATCCAGATGAGCAACAATTACCATCGAACATAGGGTCGCGTTCTATTCTGAGAGGCAGAAAAGAGGAATATTAAATTTCCAGCCTGAAGTTACAACACAATAGTGTTGGGAGAGCAAATGGAGGAGACCAAAAGTTGCTCAATCAGTTTCGTGAAAAACTCACAGAGAGTGCACAAAACGATTAAAACCGAAAACTTGGTGTCAAAAACTCAAATGCACATCTTTGGTCGGCAAAGTCTCCTCAACCTCGAAAACGATTGCAACAAGTTAATTATCTAAATTATTAGGGGGGGAATTATCTATTAGAGGGAAAAACTGCTACCGTGATATCAAGTATCAAGGTAGCAGTTTTTTCCCCTTTGCTATCTTCTATCTTGTTCTGCTGAACGTACTGTACTGCGCTCATTCTACTTAAAAGCACCCTTCTATGGAACACGAAGTTCTGATAGCCGGAACACAGGATGAATTTTTCATGCTAATCTTGGCATACAGCGGAAGTTGGAGTTAGTTGATAATATTCAGCCCTTGATTAGGTAATTAACTTGTTGCAATCGTTTGCGAGGTTGAGGCCTAGCCAACCAAAGATGTGGATTTGAGTGCTTGCCATCAAAGTCTGACTTCGAATTAACACTCGAACGCCAAGTTTTCGGTTTTATTCGTTTTGTGCACTCTCTGTGAGTTTTTCAATAAACTGATTGTGCAAGTTTTGGTCTCGTTCATTCGCTCTCCCAACACTGTTGTAAGTTCAGGGTGGAATTCTAATATTTCACTTTTCTGACTCTCCGAGTGGAATGCGACCCTATGCTCTATGGTAATTATTGCTCATTTGGATGAATACTATCATCCCTCTTAATTTGTAAAAACAATTTAGAATCACCCTGTATATGCATAAATATATATATGTGTGTATATGTAAGATATGTAAGATAAAAAAATATGAAAGCAAACATGTGTAAGATAAAAAATATGAAAGCAAACACGTGTAAGTTAAAAAATATGAAAGCAAACATGTGTAAGATAAAAAATATGAAAGCAAACATGTGTAAGTTAAAAAATATGAAAGCAAACATGTGTAAGATAAAAAATATGAAAGCAAACATGTGTAAGTTAAAAAATATGAAAGCAAACATGTGTAAGATAAAAAATATGAAAGCAAACATGTGTAAGTTAAAAAATATGAAAGCAAACATGTGTAAGATAAAAATATGACAGCAAACTTCTAAATTTAATTCACTAATAACCTCTTTTATTTTCAATTTGGGAACTTCAGCTACCTTTCCTAAAAATAGCGCTTAAGTCTAAACTGGGTCATTCAAATTAATCATGCGATCTTACGTAACCCTTAATGCAGATGCCTCTTGACCAATCACCGAATTGTAAACCATAACTGAAAACTGTTTCCCTCCCTTCTTTCTATGAACTGATGCGTCACTTTCGCTTAAGCTTTCCTCCTGGCCAGAAGCTTTGCGGCTACCTTCTTTGTTCAAGGAATATGTGCTCATCTAACAAAAATGTACAGCGCATAATACGCTCGTTCGTACGTGAACCAAATATTGCGAATCCCGACTTACTTTCCTCAATAATAAAGTTACCTTGAATCCGGACATGTTTGCCTTGGCCAGTTTCTTCGCTACTTATCTATTACGCCCCCGCCAAATTCCAAGACATTTAGTCGGTAGTATCTGCTGTCTAGAACTCCAAAGAGAAAAGTATCTGCAAGTTCATTGTTCTTAAAGTTACATATCATCGTGTATCCAAATATGGTACTTACTTCATTTTGCAAATTCTTCAGAAAAAGTGCATGGAACTAACTCCCAATGTAGTGCTTCCAAAATTTGTCCTTTCATTACATATATATTTAAATTTACATTGATGGTTAATTTGATATTTTTAAGATAAAATGCTTACTTCGGTGAAGTGTACTGCGTACATCACATAATTCTTTGACGATGCTTTCCTCACCATGTTGTTTAGCTGCTTCTGCTTTTATCAGGTCTTCTGTGGGAGGGCTTCGAGAGCATGATGATTTCTTATTATGGATGCATTTATATTGTCGAAGCTTTATTCTGCAGAAAAAAAATAAAACGAATCCTAATTTTAGTAAATATTACTTAAAGTACCGCTCCACATATATACGCATATATTGCACCGATAATAATAAGTAAAATTGCCAAAATTTACAAAATTTAATTTCTCTTAAATAGAAATAAATAATATATTTTTAATGCTTTTTAGCCCAAAGGAGTGTTAGCTCAGAAGGGCTATTAATTTCGTTTTGGCAATTTGCGTCGTCAACTATAAAACGACGTTTCACTTTTCAAATTGTTGCCACCAAATATTAGAGCCCTGTATTATATTGAAAGAAATTAAATAATAAAAAATCTGCATGAACATATGTAAGTTTCTCGCACTGAAAAAACAACGGTACCTAGAGACATCAAGTTTTCAATAACGTATAAGGTATTTCTCCCACTTCCCTAGCGGTAGCACGCTGGGTCAGTATTCCAGAGGTCCGTGGTTCGATTCCCGGCGAAGGCGGTTGCATATTTTCCATCTCTCTGGCTTCCAAGAAATTCCTAATGTTTCTACAGTGGCGCCCGAACTAAAAGGGTTGTGGATGATGATTCTCTGCGCCCAGAATTTGGCGACTAGGTCCCCTAAAACCGTAGTCGCCCTTTAAAAAGGGAGTATATAAGGTATTTCTCCCACTTCCCTAGCGTGCCTTAGTGGTGTAACGGTAGCACGCTGGGCCGATATCCAGAGGTCCGTGGCTCGATTCCCGGCGAAGGCGGTTGCATATTTTTCATCTTTTCTGCTTCCAAAAATCCTAATGATTCTACAAGTGGCGCCCGAACTAAAAGGGTGTTGGATGATGATTCTCCTCATCCAGGATTTGGCGATTGGGTCCCCTAAAAACCCCAGTCGGCCTTTAAAAGGGGGAGTATATAAGGTATTTCTCCCGCCTTCCTAGCGTCCTTCGTGATGTAGTGGTTCTGCACGCTGGGCTGGTATTCCAGAGGTCCGTGGTTCGATTCCCGGCGAAGCCGTTTGCTATTTTTCATCTTTTCTGCTTCCAATTAACCTAATGACTCTACGAATGGCGCCCTAACTAAAAGGTCTGTGGATGATGGTTCTCCGCACCCAGGATTTGGCGACTAGGACCTCTAAAACCCTAGTCGCCCTCTTCCTAGTCGTCCTCTTCCTAGTCTCCCACTTCCATAGCGTGTCTTCGTGGTGTAATGGTAGCACGTTGGGCCGGTATCCAGAGGTCTGTCGTTCGATTCCCGGCGAAGGCGTTTGCTATTTTTCATCTTTTCTGCCTCTAAAAAAAATTCCCAATGACTATACAAACGTAGTCCTCCACTATAGGATCTAGATGCCCAAGTTTTGAAATTTGAAATTTGTTTGATTATTTATTTCATATTTTGTAAAATTTTAACGAATTTTTGATTAACAAACTGAACGATTTCAAAGCGAGCAATGCCAACACCGTACGAAAAAAAAAAAAAAAAAAAACATTTTTTATCTCTAGCGCGCGAGACTGTGTATAGGAAATTCGAAAGACATGCTCCTTTTAAATATTTTGTGATACTGCTGTTGAATTGAATTCTGTTTTTTAAATGCGAAGATCTTGATGCTATTTAATAAATAAAGGTAAACGCAAAGCGTTAAAAAAACGCTCCTTTGTGTGTAATATAAAATCTGAAAGCTTTCAGATTTATTTTTTAAATTCTGTTTTGGAATTAGACGGTTTTAGATTGTTAAAGGGACATTAGCTTCTTGGTTTCTGTCATGTTAGGTTTCTTTTGAAAAAACGCTTTAAAGCAGATTCATTTCTGGTGATGGATTTTTGTAAATTACATTAGGCGCAGACACATTTCATATTTAATCTTCAGATTATTAATACGCTGCATATTTTTACCTCATAGGCTTAAATTTTGGATTTAGATTTAGATCTTCAGAAATGCCCTTATTTCTATATCGCCAGTTAACTGAGTCCACTTACAAATAATTTTACTGTGTTTGAATGAATGTTTATGCTTTTACATTGTACTGAAAAATCTTCAAATTGAAATTGTAGTAAAAAGGGCATAGTTTTATACTTACGGACACAAGTATCTGATATCCTCTTCAGTAGGTAAGATATTAAATGGTTCGAATCCTGCCGCAAATTCCGCCATACATTCATCGCAAGATTCGATAGTTTTTATCTTTGCTAAAGGTAAAATAAAATTCTCATCAGAAATAAATAATGTATTTATGCTATGTTCACTCCGTCACACAGAACAGAATTATAAATTATTTCTATAGGGAAACTGTATAGATACAAGACAGCTTCTAGAAATTTTGCCCTATAGGAAAATTGCCCCTAAACAGCCCTATAACTGAACTTGAAGCTAGCCCTTTAATTGGAAATTTAAATAATCATATTTTGGGAAACAATAAGCTAAAGAAAGTAGTCAGAGTTACTTCTTAATAACTCTTAACCCTCGAAATTATTAAAATTACAAAAATAATTTAGCAGCATCAATAATGCAAAAATATTTATGTATTCTCAATTATAGTTAAGTCATTCAGTCAATGTGATCGAAATAACAAATATTTAAATACTTTTACACAATTTTTTAAGTCAAAATCGTGCTGAGTTGTTTAAAAAATTATGCTTAAGATAACCCTGTTTAATTTTTCTAAAAGTTATATCTGACAGAAGTACTATGTATTAATCATACACATAATCAGGTTTTGCCATAACCACGAATTCTTTGCTTCGATTAAAAAAAAAATCTGATGTGGCTGTCCCGTTAGGCTTAGCCGCACTTAAACAGCTTTTAAACTGTTGATAATTCTACAACTATTGCATACAGATTAACTAAAGGCATAAAAACCTTATCCGGAACACATGAACAACATACACCAATCATTTTAAAAGTAAACTATGCTCAATTTACCAACATATAAGAATAAAAACTGAGTTGCCCTAGCCGAGTAACAGATGGGGAATCTATAGACATACTTAAACTTTTTAGATTATTAAGTTGAATTATTCTGTTATTGAAATTACGTTTGTAGTCTCAATTATTATTGTTTGACGAAACGCGCTATAGGTATTAACTTAATTCGAGTTTTGAGCTGCTTTTTCCTTGATAAATCCGCCTCAAACCTCGAGTTGAGCTATTTACTATTTATTGCAGTTTTTTGTTCTTATTTACTGTGTATTTGAAATGCATTTAATTTTTACAAGAGTTCTTTTTAAAATTATTTGTGCCTTAAAATTTCTTAATTTTTTCTCACCCTTTTTGATTTTGAAGTCATCTCGATTTGTAATTTTTACATTTAGTTTTTACGAGGTAGCTTTTACTACTTTAATATTGTTTCTAGTTGTTACATGATTTTACATATTTGTTAAGGAACTATAGTGTCAAATGTATTTTTTAGCATTAGCTTTTAATCATTCCTCTTACTTATAAAATTTTAAAAGAATTTGCAGCTCAATGCGCAAAATTCTTGACCACTAAGGTCTCTTTTATTCATGTTGTCTTGATACTTTCGTATATATATATATATTCACCCTCTTTTAATTATATATATTGTAACAGAACTATTTAGCTGTAACCGAACTATTTTATTGAATGCCATCTAGTGGTGAAGAGGAACAATTTAAGACAGTCGACTTCAAGCCGTGATGACGTTAGGTTACGCTGTATTAGATGTCTCTAAAATTCAAATGATTAATGTTCCGTGTGGTATATGTTTTATTTTTATGTATACTTTCTTTGTATCCATTCCTATGTGCTTTGTGAATAAATACTTTTAAAGCTAGCCGGCGTTTGTGTTTATTGAGGAACGGCTACATTACAATATTACATATTTTTGGTGAGGCCGATTATAACCAAAAAGGGAGGTGCACAGCTAAATGCCATAGGAGTCTTATATACAAAATTCCAACTTTCTGAGGCTACTCGTTTTTGAGTTATACGAGATACATACATACCTACGTACGTACAAACATCGCGTAAAAGACACTTTTGAATCCAATTTAAACCCATTTTACAATTTGTTTTGGAAAAAAAGAGTTCTTTATTCTGTCCTTACGTTCAGACACTCAAAAACATCTTCAAATTGCATTCAATCGCCTTCAAAATAAATATTTTCGTTGAAACATAATACCCGAAATACAATACTTCATTTACTTCGTACAAGGAAGTAAAAAGCATTAAGGTAAAGGGACTAAAAGTTGACCATGCACTAGTAGTTGACCATTTCAGGGGAAAAGCTTCAAAATAAGGGATATTTTGGTTTGGAGTTCGTGCAAACCTGCTTATAAGACGCTACTGCCGTCTAGTATCACATTTTATCAATTCCCAGTTGATATGCCTATCAGTTAAGTAATGGCTGACAGTGAAACTTGAAACTTGTCCTCTCCCAGATCCTGCTAATTCTTGCCGCCTGATTACCATTTTCGGTTAGGGATTGACTTTTTTTTTTTTTTTTTGTGTGTGTGTGTGTGTGTGTGTGTGTGTAAATACAGTTTTTGTGTAAGTACAGTTATTTATTTGTATTATTCAATTCGGCAATCAAATATTTATTAAGTGCATATATTATTGAACAAAATGACCCGTGAGTTATGTGGTTTACTCTTTATTTTTAGGTGGTCAACTACTGGAGAAGAAAGGTTTTTTACTTCCTTGTACGAAGTAAAAAGGAAGTATTGTAATCGCGAAAAGTTTCAGGCAGCATATTTCAACGAAAATATCCATTTTGACCGCTATCGAATGCAATTTAACGATGTTTTTGCGTGATATCTGTACGTAAGGACAGAATAAAAGACTCTTCTCCTCCAAAAAAATTATAAAACTGCTTTAAAATTAATTATGAAGAGAATTTTTCGTGGCGTCTGTACGAACGTATGTACGTACGTACGTATCTCGCGTAACTCAAAAACGAGTAGCCTCAGAACGTTGAAATTTTGTATATAGGACTGCTATAACATGTAGATGTGCACCTCGTATTTTGGTTGCAATCGGCTGCACCAAAAGTATATAAATATATGTATTTATATATCCACTCTGTTACCCGGCTCAGTGATCTCAGTCTCTTTACTCTTCATATGTTTGTAAATTGTACATTTTTTGCTTTAAAAAATGATTGAATTATGTTGTTCTTATCTTCCGGTTAAGGTTTTTTATGTCATTTAGTAAATCTGTATGCAATAATTTTTAGAATTATCAACAAGTTTAAAGTTGTTTTAAGTGCCGCTAAGCCTAATTTTTGTTAGCATGGCGGCCATATGATTGTTTACATTTGAAACTAAGCAGACTAGTGGATTTGTTGCCAATCTAGAGAAGCTTAGCTTCGCAACAACAAAGATAACGCATTCATTTATTATTGCCAATTAAATCATGCTTAATTCTTTCTGGAATTTTTTCGAGGAAATATGTGTTTGAGATTTACTTCGTAATTTTTAATATAGATATTTTGAGTTTTTATGCATTTTTGCCTTCTTGCGAAGTGAGAACTGAATTAATTGAATGACAAATACTCAATCGTCTGTGAAAAACTGTTTCTTTTTTGTTTTGTTTGCTTAATTTCTTCTTATACATCGTTCTAGCTTTATTATAGTATTTGAATAGAACATGTGGCAACGATTAGATAATTCTATTTTTTAAATGATATAAATTTTGTGCATTATGAGTTATAATATGAACGAAATATAATACTGTTAAATGAATCTAGCACCAGAGTGTCGCTATGGTAAACAAATACTAGAGTGAATTTTAAAGAATGCATTTATTCTATTGTGGTTTATGCGCTGTCGGCGAAGTAGATTTAATTAAATCCAATAAGTTTAAAAGAAATGCAAGAAAAAATGCGTATAATTTAATATTCCGTACGAGGTAGTCATGTGGTGTACACATCAGATTTTTTTCTAAATTATTTATAATACTTTTATAGTACAACTTTTTTCAGTAAAAAAGGTCATCACTAGCTAGGTAGGCAGTTGAAGAATTCTGTTAACTGCGAAAAATTTAATTACTGTCTCCACAGCTAATACTGTTGACAAACGAATGAGAAATTTCCCTTTAGCTGGTCAACTACTGGTGCCTTTGCTTTAAATGTTTGTTGCGCGTTAGGAGAAAATTCCAATTAAGATTCATATTCATTGATTACTTTATAAATTCATATATTGTATTCATCATTAAAATATTACATTCATCTCGTAGAATATCCTTGTCTTTCACTCTCAGGGTAATTGAAAATATTGAAAAATAACCTGTGATTCAAAATACTGAAAAATAAATAACGTGCATTTAAATGAAAAGAACACAAAATGCAGATTCTTGTTTTTACCGAGATACAAGTGAAGCTTTCCGTATTTTTTTGATTCTAAAATGTTCCATTTTCCCCATAAAACGTCGCTGAGAACGAGTTACATGTGAGAATCTATGGCATTTTTAGAATTTCAGTTTTTTGCAAATTACTAATTACTGCAAAGTATTTTGCTTTTTAAATTGTTTATTTAGATAGATATATTATTGTTATTAAAATGCAAGTAAATTTTTAAAAAATATGTTTGGTTTGTGTCTTAACGCTTTATCTGACTTCATCTCTTTTCTTTTCTTAGGATGTAAATATTTTTTTTCCCTGCTGATGCTACTGAAATGGGTAAGCCTTAGACTGGATGCGTTTAATATACGAAAAAATAGAATATTTGTCTGTACAACAAACATCAACAGAAAAGAATATTTTGAAAGCTTTAAAGTTGCGTATTGAAAGAGAAATATTCAAGTACTTTGAGTCAAAATTTTCCATACTTCAGCTAAAATAAATTTTTGCAATACTTTTCTAAAATTTAAATGTATAGATGAATATATTTCTTTACCTCTGAGTAAATCATCACACATGTAGTCCACGATAGCTTCGTTATACATGATAAACTGAATAGATCGTTTATATTCATCCTCTATCGCTATCTCTTCTAGGCTGCTCTTGTTGCATTCTCTTGTTTTTTTGCGTATACAGTAGAAGACCTTTCTCAGCAATCTTGAAAAAACAAAAATGCATTTTAAATGAAGTGAATAATTTTTGACAATTAATAAAACAATAAGAGATGAATTCAGAAGTCAAACAACAAAAATCAGCGTTATATTTTCAAATTTTCACAGGACTAGTTTCGATGGTTTTACCGAACCACCATCCTCAGCTGCAAAAACTGAAATGAACGAGATAGGATATAATGATCAGATAAGATAATAAAGTCTAGAAAGAAAATAGACTAGTGGCGTCATCTGTTGGTGAAACCAGAACTAAAACATAATTTCTTTAAAGGCCGAAGGCAAAGATGGATTGGAATTAGGATCGTTAACTAGAAAAGAAAGATTTTTTGAATGTGAAATGCCTCTAGAAAATCCAGTTCTCCAATGGAAGATGTTTTTCGAATAATTTTGGCAGAAGAAAAATTGAAAGTGTGATTTTCGAACCAACAATGTTGGGCAACAGAAGACTTCTGTGTTTCTTTTTTTCTAACATATGCCTCCTGTTCCTTGACGTTAAATTTTAAGGCTCTCTTAGTTTGGCCAATGTAAATTAAACCACACTGGCAAGAAATCCTATAAATACCCCAGGAATTCATATCCGGAATGGGGTCCTTGAGTATGGAACTCGGAATTTTATTGATAGGAGAATAAACGACCCGAAAGTTAAATTTCTGCAAAATATGTGCAACTTTATAGCTAATTGATGGAAAGAAGGGAATGAGAACAGAATTTTTATAATCTCCTAAAACAACAGTGTGCCTTTTAGTGTGTTGAGATCAGAATTTTTTAACTGCTTGATTAATAATGTTGGGTGAAAAGCCCCTGTCAATAGCTATTGCTTTTAAATAATTTAGATTCCAAACCATCTTTGATTTCAGCCTTTAACCCTTTGCGGCATGGTGGGTCAATATATGTCCCACCTAATTTATATTTATTTTCTCAGTTAGCAATTTCCGTTAGAAATTTTCTAATCTTTTAAAAATAATCTATTTTAGGTATTATTTTTCTCAGTAGATGTTACTACTATACCAGGGCTTAAGTTTATAAGCAAAAAATATTCAAAATACTATCACAAGAGTGATATCCATGTATCTTGCATTTTTCAATATTTTAAAAATTTTGGTATACAGTTTATGATATGTATGATTCTTTTTAATATTCAAAGGTATTTTATTTTCAAAAATTTTAATTGGATTCAATATTTTATAACATTAATTTTGCAGTTGAAATAAGTGGGTTAAAAATTGGTCCCACCACACACTTGAATTTCTGCTCAATAGATGGCAGCACTCACGATTATTTTTCTTTTTTTTTTGCATTACTTTTTCGTGATTGCGCGCGCTTTTTACATCCGTTGTATGCTCTGATGTGCTAAAATGTCTAGAAAAAAGTTAACACTCAGGAAGCTTGGATCTTTTTGCTGAATTGCCATCCGATGCGACTTTTCAGATGCGATTGCTTCAGATGTCAGTTCTGATTCAGGTGAAACTGAAATCCAGGAGAAAATAACTGGGTTGAAGTTATTGCTGAAGAAGAAAGGGAAGTAGTTATAATTTGTTTCGCTTTTTAACACACCATCCCATCTATGCCATCTATGCATGTGGCACTGTAAATATGAATGGGAATATCTACGCAAAAATTTAAAGACAAATTTATGTCAAGAGAATATATAGACTTTTCAGTTAGGATGATGATTCAATTTATTGCATAAAATGAAAGAATAAAAGATCTGTTTCTATCCGTCTTGCTTGGAAAAGGCAACTGAAATGAAAGAAATTAATAGAAAAGAACGAGATGGAAAAACAATAACAACAACAACAACAAAAAAAGTACTGTGCCCAAACAGCATTATTTCATACAATAAGAATATGGAATATGTCGACTTGATTTGATCAACTGAAAGGATTATATGAAATAGGACCGCAAAAGCAAGAAATGGATGGCACAGGATATTTTTTTTTTTTTTCTTTTTACATGCGAGTATAGTAAACACATTTATTCTATTTAAGTTTGTTCGCGAACCCGATCATGTTGTAAAAACAATGAAAGATTTTAGTCTCTCAGTTATAGAAGGTCTAATGGCATTTGCAGGCAAGAAAGAGCTGAAAAATGAACTGAAATCCCCAGTTCAAATAAAAACTAAAAAACCATTCGTACAACCAGAAAGAGACTAAAAAATGTAAGTTACACATGCCAGAGAGAAGGAGCAGCAGAAAATGTGCATATTGCAGCACATCGAAAGAAGAACGCCGAACATTTTGGATGTGTGAAACATGTGAAGTGCCTCCATACTTACAAAAGAATGAAACAACATTTTTTCAAAGTTTTATGAAAAATGACTTTTTTCAATTTTTAATCATATATAAATGTTTTTGAATCAAGTGCCAATTTAATATTTATTTAGTATCATATGTACGAGTATCAACTTTAATCTTAAAATAATATTCAAGAAAATATTTTACTTTGTTCCTAAATTTAAAAATATTAAATATATATATATATATGCAAAATGTGCATTGCAAAATTTTACAAGTCATGCATATTGCAATAAGTACAAAATGCATTTTAGTTGTGTTTATTATGAATATTTTAGAATGCACGCTTTATTTTGTTTATTCATTCCACATATTTTTTTTTCCTGCTATAACACCAATATGCTATAAGAACATGTGCTAGTTGCATGGTGGAACAAACGGTATCCCACCTTATCCCGTAAAAAATAAAAGTGCAGAATTTTTTTCAAGCTTTAAAGGCACTTAAGTAAGTCCATCTGACTTATTCTAAGGCATTTTTTTAAAGATTAAAATATATTTTAAATATGCGTGTCGCAAAGGGTTAAAGAAATTATGTTTTAGTTCTGGTTTCACCAACAGATGGCGACACTAGCTTATTTTCTTTCCAAGCTTTCTTATCTTATCTGATCATTATACCCTATCTCGTTCATTTGAGTTTTTGCAGCTGAGGATGGTGGTTTTTGCAGCTGAGGTGGTGGTTTTGCAGCTGAGGATGGTGGTAAAACCATCGAAACTAGTCCTGTGAAAATTTGAAAATATAATGGTTTTGTTGCTTGACTTCTGAATTCGTATTTGTTCGGCGTGTTATTGTGTCTTAATAAGAAATAACTTTAATAATAATGTTCTTTTCCAAAAATATATTTTGCTCTCCTTTTTCTAATGCTCTAGCTCTAATATGACCTATGCAACTAGCTCTAATTCGAAAACGTCTTTGTCAAATTGGTCTTTGTCGACATAGAGTTCCGGTGAAAAGGATACATATCAGTGGTTACCACTGGTTTAGCTGTCGCTTCAATATTAACTCTGTTCCGATTTGAAAAATTGTTTTCTAAACAATAATACAATAATACAAGAAATGTTTAAAACAAATTCCTAGCAACAATGAAAGAAGAATTCTTTTTTGATTTGTGTTTTGTACATTTTAAGGTTCTCTAAATTAGATTTATTTTCTTATAATATTTTTTAAAAGTATTTCTCAAAGAAATAGATTTAATACTGAACATTTTGTCAGAGAATAAAACACCCCCAGTATCGAGATATCTCACCAAAACCTGACTGTGTGTTCTTATACCTCGCCACAATAGTATACCAGCATTGTATTGCATTTTTGTTCTCGCCGCGTGTTCTTATAATATTGTTGCATTCTACGAGTTTTGAATTTGGAGTGATTGATGACAACAATTGATAAAGAATCAAACACAGTTTGTTCGTCAGTATTACAGAGTTCCAAAGATGCGTTACAGTCGTTGAAAATGACAAGCAACACGGCCTGCAGACTATTATGCTTTAACTGTGAAGACAGCTTCACGTCAAAGCACTAAAGTACAGCTCCAGATTCGGAGGATCGCTCTCGGAACTCAAGACACTGTAACTGAACTCAACGTCCTCTTGATACTCTATCAAGATACACTGACGATAGATAACTTCAGGATAAACTGCTACTCCGCGTACAGGCAAGAGTTTATACAGCTTTTGGCCTGCCTTCGAGAACATTCTGGGCAAACAGATAAGAGTTCGTTCCAGATTCTTCTCTCTACGTCTACAGCATATTGCCAATTTTGTTCGCCATATGTGCGATTTCATGCCAAATCTGGCAACTCTGCCTTTCCTTGAAATTTTCAGGCAACCCTAAACCCACTTTGCGGGGAAGCTATCTTACCACAGCTGGGCATTTTGTAACAACATTCATTTTTGATGAAGCTTTCGAATTGTTTATTTAAAAATATATTAACCTTTTTTTTTGCGTGTGAATATGAGGTTAACAATCTTTAAATATGCCAAGTAATAAGGTGGATGCCACGTCATTTTCTCAAAAACTACGTCTTTTACCTGGCAAACGAGTATGCGAAAATGACCACAACATGAAACTTTATGTTAACGACGAAACCATTTGGAGGTGTAATGTTATAAATTGCAGAAAGAAGGGGCCCGTGTTCGAAATTGGTTCAGAGGTTTCACAATATCGTTAGTCACTGCTATTAGATATATGTATTCATGAGAAGAGGAGTTGTCGTCCATGAAATGGTATAACAAAAGTGCTGCAGTTGACTGGAACAATTGCATGCGGTGAAGTAGTAAATAATGATAAGGAAAAGGATTCTTAAGAATACGCCTAGGAAACGACATGTGAGTATTATTATTATTACTATATATTGTGTTGTTTATTTATATATTTGCGCTTCACGAGCTTGTCGAAATTATAGTTGAGATCTTCGCGAAAGTCTAAAATCGCCAAATATGATTGGGGGCTGCTGCAGCAAAGAAGTACCTCATGTAGAAGAAGAGAGAAGGCTTTTTTTGTTATATACACATGAAGCTTCTGACAGCGCGGTTTTTGTAGCAATGTGTGAATTCAATGTAACTTAAATTTCGCCCTAATCTGCGTAGCGGTTGTTTTACGTTTCCGGCTACAGAAAGTTTTCAATGCTGTAACCTTTTCAGATAATTTACGCTATCTTCGAGTGTGTTTTTAAATGTACGAAGATCTTCACTTTCCGAGTCGTTCTTAAAAAAGAACGATCTAATGATGCCACCCAATCCAGGTACTTGTTAGCGACGCTGATTGCCGTACCGAAGAGACCAGGTTCGAATGCGAGACAAGGTATTAATGTTTTCAAAAGTATAGTGCATGGCGGCGAGCCGAAAGTCCTGTCGAGAGGATGGAGGTAGAATAAGAAGGATGGGAGACCATCCGACCCGTAACACCCCTCGGGGTGGTCTCAATCAAAATTAGGGGAGGGGCGGAACTGAGCAAAGTCATACTGTCATCTGTGTGGGGCTCAAGGTAAGACAGGCGCAATCTTGCACTACTTGCCGCGATGAATTTCGTGGGGCTGTGCTGATGCTGCTGTCAGGAAAATGAGATAAGTCACAATAACAACGGATCTAATGATTTGGTAACAGATCATTAGGTCTCAAATTCATAAAGCAGAACCCAAACATTTGCCATGTTTCGAACCCTAGTATGTGTCCATTTGTGTCCTATAATTTCTCAATTTTTGAAGCGAATATCTCTTATACTCTGAAAATTCAAATTTCACTCTTCTGCTATTGATTATATTTGAAGCCATTCGAGATTCCCAACGAGAAGGTTCCATGCGCTAGCTTGAAATTTGGTACGGTATCTTCGCCAAGCGTTTAACTTTGTATAAGTTACATTATTCAATAATTTATTAGATTTAATATTATAGAGACACTATGGGAAAAATCATATTGTCATAATTATAGACTAGGTATCAGTAATATTTTAATAACATAGCTACCGAAGTTATGTTACAAAATTATTTTGGCAGTTAATATTGCTAAGTTAGCCTACCTAACTTATAAATAGTATAAGCATTCTAATTTAAAGTCAGCAAAAAATTTCTTTGAAATTTTACTATATAGTTCAGTATTATTAATGGTTGTGTTGGTTTATTGAATTACGGCAAAAATCTCGAGGGCTGTCTGCCCAAGGAAAGGGATGTATTCTTGGGGGACTTTCTAAGGAAAGCTGGCTCGTATACACATTACACATGGGAAAAATCACGGAAACGCCCATGCAGCCAGCTTATTCGTGGGATTCGAACCTCAGACGGACTACCAGCGACTTTTGAAAGATGTGGTGTGGTGTATTTATTTATGGCAAAGCACACTAGGGCTATCTGCCTAAGGGGAAGGGATGCCTTCGGACTTTCTAAGGGGAACTGGCTCGTATACACGTTACACATGGAGAAAACCACGAAACCACCCATGCAGCAAGCCCGTCGACTTTCTAAAGGAAACTAGCTCGTATATACGTTACACACGGGAAGACCACGAAACGCTCATGCAGCCATCAGTGTTATTAATATTGTACTTTAAAGATCAAAATAAATAAATCAGACACAAAAAATGTTTGGACGAGAACATGCCAATGGCAAAGGCATAGATTTTAAACAAACAATAAATCTATTAATTTTCGGGGCGAACTTACGCAAATCTTTCTTCTTCGTCTTCTTTATAAAAAAAAAAAAAAAAAAAAAAATCTTTAAGGAGAGGAAAAAAAAATCTGCAGCTTGTTCGATAGATCGATAAGTCGATAGGTTTTATTTAAAGACTTACGCCAGTCTAAGATTGCGTTTTTGCCTAATTTTAAACGGTATTAATTATCCAGCAGGAATTTATTTAGCAAACATAAAAGGCATGCAAGTAATTGCACATCATATGAAAAGAAAGTTTCATACATACGGGCACATGCGTGTAAATTCCTCTGTAGTTGGCAACATGTGTGCTAACTCAGGAAGGCTGAAATCTTCATTTATTTCCGCAAAACATGTTCGTATGATGTCTCGACACATAAAACGTGTTCCACCGATGCCTTGATAAGCTGAACTTATTTCCAGAACTCCTGAAACAGAATAAAATTTGTTGTAAAAACAGTTAACATCACGGAAAATTTTTAAATAATTCAAATAATTTTTAATTATTAACTGGCTAATTTTTACCTCAACTTCTTGTAAGGCACTTGACATGTAAGAGAAGTAATATTCAAAAACAAACCGTAACTCAAACACGTAATTCTTTGTCAATATCTGAGATTGTTAAAATCTTTTACTAGTACGCAAAAGCTTCAAAAATGAAAAAGAGAATAAGTCAATTTCAAAATTAAAAATAAACGGAATTGTGTGAATTTTACTATTAATATGGCATTATTTTGCCTTTTAGCAACAGTAGTATGTTAATGGACAACTAACTTCCCAAACGAGGCTTTACCCTAGCACGCCTCTTTGTGAAGATTAAATTATTCTGCACACTTTTGAAGTTCATAATTAAACTTTAAAGGTCATCAAGAAAACAAAATTTCCAATCCCATTCACAGATTTTTTAATAGCAAAGTGTTCTGCAAGATACTTGTTGATGCTTATACATGCACTTGTGCATGCATAAGCATGCACAAATATCCACCATCATTTACAAGTATGCACTTAGCATCATGCAAAAGCATGCGCAAGTATCTAGCATGATGCACAAGTGTCTAGCATAAGCATGCACATGTTTCTTGACTTTCTCTAGCTTAAATTATTTACGCAGATATTGCATTCATATTATTTTTCTGTACCACAAAACTTTTACTTCCTATTTATACTTTTAATAATAGTACTAATTTATTTCCTATTTATAGTAAATTCTATATTTCTTTATTGGTTTTACTTAAGTACATATGAATAATGGACTCACATATTTAAATAAGAGGAAACTCACTAGCAAAATACTACAATGCAAATAAAAGTAGCGCCCTTTTAAAAACGCACTTTTCATTGGTACTGCCAGAAGACAAAGAGTAAAGAGTATACGAGGAGTTTATTTTATAAGGTATTTCTCCCGCCATCCTAGCGTGCCTTCGTGGTGTAGCGGTTCTGCACGCTGGGCCGGTATTTCCAGAGGTCCGTGGTTCGATTCCCGGCGAAGGCGTTGTATATTTTTCATCTTGCCTGCTTCCAATTAACATCATGTCTCTACAGTGGCGCCCGAACTAAAATTGTGTTGGATGAGAATTCTTCGCACCCAGGATTTGGTGATTGGGTCCCCTAAAATTTCAATAGTCCTTTAAAAAGGGGAGTATATAAGGTATTTCTCCCACTTTCCTAGCCTACCTTCGTGGTGTAGTGGTTCTGCACGCTGGAATGGTATTTCCAGAGGTCCGTGGTTCGATTCCCGGCGAAGGCGTTGCATAGTCTTCATTTCCCCGGCTTTTCCAGTTAACCAAATGTTTCTATAATTTAATGATTTATGGCAAAGCATTAACAAGGGTTATCTGCCTAAGGAGAGGGATGCTTTCGAGGAAGACTTTCTAAGGGAAACTGGTTCGTACACATGTTGCACATGGGGAAAACTACGAAAACGTGTAAGTAACAGTTCGACTGGAATCGAACCCCTGAGCGATCGCTAAGCCGCTGCTGGGCCAGTATACTGGTCAATTCAAAAATATCTGACAAAAATGTAAAGGCAGGTAGACGGGACCGAAATAAGCAGATTTTATAATGGAATGGGTTTGCAGAAATGCATAATTGAGGTGGAAGTAGGTGTTGCTGAGCTGTAGCTAAAAGCGTCTTTTCGCGTAATTTCGAAGGATATGCATCGCTACACGGAAGCAGATCTTGCCGACATGCTTCCTTCCATCTATGAGGCTAGAGTCATAAATGGAACAGCTGTTCAATGGATGTACTCGAGAATCGTTCTCTGATCTTCCTTTGAGTAGCTGCTTCTGCTTCGTTTCATTCGCAACCCCATACCCATACCATCGCATTGTTGTTGCTAACGCTCAATTGTCTGACCGATAATCAGCCCAAGCCCACGAAATTGCTCGTGGCAAGGAGCGCAAGTTTACGCCGGTCGTTGGCAACTTGAGCACCTTACAGATGACATTATGATTTAGCTCAATTCCGCCCCCAGTTTTGATGGAGAGCACCCCGGGGGAACGCGTTCAAGGGTCTCTCCATCTTTTTCCCCTACCAGCAACCTCTCAAAAGGACTCTAGAGTGCCCTCATGTCGCACGGACACTATACATTTACAAGCATCCATACCTTTTCCGGGATGCGACCCGGGCACTTTGGCACGGCAGTCAGCGACACTAACCACTATACCGACTATAGTGCATTTGCGGGGTTGAAGATTTATTCGCTGTAATAAATATGTACAAAAAAGCAACAATCGGATCCATATTTCTTATTTATTTCCTATTATTCATTCTATTCACATTTGATTTAACGGATAATTTTGAAATTTATTAAAAAATTCAGCGTGCAAGAGTTTTACTATAAGGTGTTTAAATATTTTTAAAACGGTTTCCAAGCAGTTTAATTAATGTTTAAAATGTAAAGAATATTTTTTAATGTTCGATCTGAACGCCCTTTTTCTGGACTATACGTCTGCATCGTGACTTTCATGACAGAAAAGTTGTTTTAAAATTTATAAAAGATACTCATTCCCATTTTCCTTCCACTGCTTCCCAAAGTCCTTCAATCGCTTTAGGTTTGTCCTCGGAAAGAGCACTTTTTAAAAGACCTAGAGCCACAATGTATTCCATAGGTGGAACGTCAGGGAACACCGCAGGGATACGTTGAAAAGATATATATATGCAATATTCACATCAGTGTCAAGAAGTCTCAAGGTTTTTCAAGGATGTTTTGCCTTGATGAAGCTTCACTCTTAAGCCACTATGAAAAAAGCCACTATGATTAAGAAATAGAATGTCTTTTGTAAATCCTGGACGTAAACCTTTTTCTTGATAAGTACGTTGAGTTGCTTTTGATATTTTTACTACTCTTTTTATTTTTAATTTCCTGCTGTAAGAGAGTCCTGCTGCTTTGTTGTATATATTGTAATTATCTTTGTATATATTTGTACTGTATTATGATTAACTGTATTGTAATTAAGTATCTTGTATTTTGTACTCTCTTTATGCTGTAGCTGATGACAACACAAGCACTTCAGCAATTCATGTCCATGATCGCTATTTATTGATCGAGTGAGGCTCGGTTCCCCCTTGCCTACATTCTCATTGCCTCTGGGTTCCTATGTACAGATAGATTTATGTGATGCGCCTTATGGCCTTAGATTCAATGATCCAGAGACACTGCGCTTTTGAGGTATTCTGGAATACACGAAATCAGTCAGTCAGTCAGTAAAGAACTTCTTACTGAAACTTTGTTTGCAATGGTAGAACCGAATGTGTACGTTTTTAGTCCAAAGGGATTTGAATCCCGAAGGACTATTAGTTTCGTTTTGGCATTTTGCGTCGGACTCATAAATGTCGGTTCACTTTTCAAAGTGTTGCCACAAAAGGCTAGAGTCCTGCATTATATTTGAAGAAATTAAATAATGAAAAATCTGCATAAATGTATGTATATTTCTCGTATTGTGATAAAACAACGGTACATAGAGTCATCGAATTTTGAATAACGTAATCCTCCAACGAATATGAGCATGTGGAAGACCAAATTTGAAATTTGAAATTTGTTTATGATCGATTGCCTATTTTTTAAAAGTTTGACGAATTTTGATTAACGAAACTCAAGGATTTCAAAGCGAGCAATGGCAACGTTGTGCAGAAAAAACATTTTTATCTCTAGCGCGTGAGTCTCTGTATCGGAAATTCTAAAGATATATGCTCGTTTTTAAAACTATTTGCGATATTGCTGTTGCACTGGATCTTATGGTTTAAGTGCGAGGAACATGATATTTAATAAAGAAAGGTAACACAAAAAATGTTTAAAAAACGCCCCTTTGGACGTAATTTAAAAATCTGAAACATTTCAGATTTTTTTTTTTTTTTTTTTTTTTTTTGTTTTTTTCTTTTTTCTTTTCGTTTTCCATAACAAACACATTTCTTTTGGATTCCGCTTATTTAGGAGATCCATGCTTTATCAAGAGTTCCAATGTATTGCCATTTATTTCCTGCTAAATAATTTTTATACATATTATTCCGGGTTGAGTCACATGCCTTGGTAAAAGGTGGCGAACGTTGTGTTTCTTAGCATTTTTAAGTTGTAAATTTCTATTTATTATTTTACATATTGTTGTTACAGATGTATTTAAAGTCTTTTAAAGAAATTTCTGCTTCCTCGGAATTTTTCTTGTTACCAACGTTTTAACTTTGGCGATGTATTATACACGTTGGAAGCTTATTTTATTAAAAAAATAGGTTATAAAACCACATTTGAGTGAAATATTGTTGTAAGACGTTCTACTAAAATAACTTTTTAATGAATAGCTGAGACACGTATATTTAATAATCTTGAAAAGAAATGAAAGATTTTACGTCAATCGGCAACAGTGTCTATTTATCGCGGACAGAATCTATCTGCAAACTGAAAAGATTTGTTTCTCTTCTAGGAGTTAAAAAAAAAAAAAAAAAAAAAAAAAAAAAAAAAAAAAAAAAAAAAAAAAAAAAAAAAAAGAAAACTAAAAATATGATTCTATTGCTTTTCTTTGTCTTTTGTGCAGGATATCTTGCTTGACTTCTAAATTCAAAACGATGACTACTGTCAGAATTTTTGCATTTTTAACTTAAGCTAAATGAGATATATCATATCATTTAGAAAATGGCTATTAAGCAATACAGTGGAATGTAATAAGAGATTTAGAGTTATGTTTTCTTGAGATTAAGGTTTGAATTGAAGAATTCTTTACTTAAAGAGATAAAACGGAGGTTTTATAAAATAAAATATCATTAGCTGTCAAATATTCAAAAATTTGTAGATGCTACAACACAGTAAAATTTTGAGTAAAATGTTACAAGTTGAAATTTTGATTAGTCGAAAAATTTAAATGAAAGTTAGAACTGATTTCAGTTCAGTTATTTATCTAACTGAACTGAGCAATATTTGATTCACAAATAACTTTCTTGAATTCGATTAAGATTTGTTTTAATAGCTACTTTTTCAATGCTTAAAAATTTTTACTTTTGATTTTGGAATTTTTGCGATTCAAGATTTTTCATCTTTTTAAAGCAAAAGAGGTCTAGAAAATACTAGTTTAAAATACTAATTGAAATAAGGACTAAAAGGGTTTTTTCATTTATGGTTTTAAATTTTCCGAATTAGGTTTATCAAACTGTGTACTAACAACAGATTCGAATTTTATCACTATACCTTAAAAATCTTCCACCTACTGGCAATTAGAAATAATATGCCTATAATCAATGACTAAAAGGAACTAATATAATTAATAAGTTGTTAAAAATTTACTTCAATTCGTGAGCATTTAATATTCAGTCACTTTAAAACCGTTTTTAATGGCTGCAATAGTTTAGGTGAAAAACAAATATTCGAAATACAACTCATAATATGCCTTTTTTATACTGCTTCAATACATTTTAAATATATATGCTGCCTCTTCTGTAAAACCTTCAGCTGTTAAACCCCTATTAGAAACATTATATTAAATTTTATAAGCTGAAGGAAAATTAATGAACGCTGAATTCTTTTAAAAATCATTCAACATCATTTCCATGAAAATTAAATTACTTACCTAAAGAGATCAATAGGGTCAAATATAATTTCGACATACTGAATGTCAAATAAAAATTAATAGTAAATATTGAATATACGAAATTGTCTTAATACTTTCACTGGAAATTTTATTCTGATCTTCGGGTACTGTAAGCTTTCCGATTATTTACTTATCTTAAAATGCAATCCTTTTATGCCATTGTGATACAAACCATGTTTAATTACAGGAAGTCTAATCGTTGACAGGAAGGATATCCGCACTTTTTAGCAGGATAAAGTTAATGTAACGAGCTAATAAAAAAAATGTCGCCAGAGTTTGCTTTTAAACCATCATATATATTTACAGGAATCAGAATTATAGTTTGAATTCATCATCATGGAGATGTTAGCTCATGCGAACAAAATCTAAATAGTAAGAATTTTAAAAACTACAATCTAAACTAAAGAATTAAAAAACCACAACTTAAAGACTTCAAATCACACTTTAATATAATTAATAAATTTCAAAAAGTTAAATTAAATTTTAAAAAAAGAAAAAAAAAGGGGAAAAATCTGAAAGATTTCAGATTTCATATTACGCCCAAAGGAGCGCTTTTTTAACGTTTTGTATGCTACTTTTATTTATTGAATATCATGTTCTTTGAACTTAATCCGCAAAATTTATTGAATATCATGCACTTAAACCGCAAAATTTATTGAATATCATGTTCTTTGAAATTAAACCGCAAAATTTATTGAATACCATGTTCTTTGCATTTAAACCGAAAAATTCAATTCAAAAGCAATACCACAAAATATTTAAAAGAGAGTATGTTTAGAACTTCCGATACACAGTCTCGCGCGCTGAAGATATTTTTCTTCTTTTTTTTTCGTACAATTTTCCATTGCTCGCTTTGAAATAGTTGAGTTTGTAAATCAAGAAATTCGTTAATGTTTCACAAATGAAATAGTTTTGGATTAGGTAATAAAACAAATTCCGAATTAGGGCTTCCACATGCCCATATTCGGGTGAAAACGTACGTTATTCAAAATTGGAGGGCCCTAGGTACCGTCGTTTTATCACAGTATGAGAAAAATACACACATTGATTCAGATTCTTCATTATTTAATTTCTTTAAATATAATACAGGGCTCTAATTATTTGGTGGCAACAATTTGGAAAGTTCAACGCCATTTTGTAGAGGACGACGCAAAATGCCAAAGCGAAATTAATAGCCCATCTGGGCAAATTGTTCCTTTGGACTGATAAATAAAAATCAATAAATACATCTGGATAAATTAGAGTATCTGAGTAAATTAGATACATCTGGATAAATTAGAGTAATTAAGTAGAGAATGGATAAATTAGAGTACCTTCTTAATAGGACTGCCTGTACGATCGTCTCATATTCACGTTATAGAGGGAATACCACGAAAATTTCCAGCAGCCATAGTGTTAACAGAAAATTTGACAGTATTCAGTTATTTTATTTCTCTGCCGTTTGGTAAGTTATTCCTATGCAGGTGTTACGTTTTTTTCTGACACCAGTTGTTGCGTTTTTCTCTTCCTTCACGTTCGTACGGGGTTCGTGTGGATTTGGAGTGAATAATGATGACACTTCTTGATGAAGTATCGAAACACACTTTATTTAGCCAGTACTAATCAGGACAGCTCCAAAATCACGTTACAGTTGTCGAAGAAGTACTGTAAACACGCTGACGTGATCAGCGACACAGCCTTCAAGTTATCAGGCTATCACGGTGGAAACAGTTCACTGCAAAGCACCAGAATACAGCTTTCGACTCTGCTCGGTCGTTCTCGGAACTCCACGTACTCTCGAGACTCTCCAGGCTACAACTCGCGATGCACTCACGACACACGAGCACAGTTCGGACTCTTCGGTTCAGTCGTTCCCGGAGCTCAACACGCTCTCTCGACGGTGCACTAACCGCGATACACTACGAGACTCTTTTGGTGCACTCGACAACCCACTCGACACTCGCTGCACGGCTATCAACTCGATCGATTCCGCAGGGATTGACTCGCTAGACCAGCGTTTCCAAACCTTTTTTGGCCAAGGCACACTTGTCGCGGTGAAAAAAATCACGAGGCACACCACCATTAGAAAATATTAAAAAATTAACTCTGTGCCTATATTGACTATAATAAAGTAATTCTCTTGAATAGGAATCAAATAAGCACAAAGAAAGTATTTTATAATTACTTTATTATGAAATATTAAGTAAACAGAATAGTGAAAAATTATAAAATACTTTCAGTGCGAAACCTGGGCCTGTTTGGCTGCACACAAAGCTAATATTCTGGCTGGAATCGAAGAAAGACACACACCTAGCTCTTCGTCAACAGTTCTCAGTCTCTCTCTGTATTTGGTTTTCATAGCAATCATGCTTGAAAAGTATCTCACAATCTTGAAAATAATCTCACACAGATATGTAGTGGAAAAAGGGAGCAATGTCAAAATAGCTTTGTTTGCCAGAAGGGGGAACTCCTTGGCAGTATCCAACCAAAAACTGTCCAAAGGTAGATCAGCAAATCTTAGCTTGCAACCACGATTTTGTCTCAGTTCAATTAGTTCCTCCTGCTCCTGTAAAGTCATTTCCTTTCCAACAACTGATGCTGAGCTATAAGGGTCCCTAACACAGTCAAGGCATTCAGTGGAGACTGAAGAGAAATAAAATGACAACTTCTCCTCAAGAGTTTTTAAATGCTTAACTATTATCTCACACAGTGCAGCAGTGTGAACACCTTTGCCATTGCATGGTGAGTGTGAACATTTCAAGATTGCCACTTTCCACGTGTTGATGCCAGAGTTGCACCTTTGAATGGAAACCATTTATTTTATCTGTACTTATAAGCAGGTTTTCATTTCGGCCTTGCATTCGGGTGTTCAATTCATTCAGATGATGAAATATATCTGCCAGGTATGCCAGCCTTGCACACCACTCATCACTTGCAAGCTGCTTTGCGTAATCTGACCCTCATTTGTCAGAAAACACTTTAAGTTCCTCCCGCAGCTCATACACACGAACCAAGACCTTGCCACGCGACAACCACCGGGACCTCCGTATGAAACAGCAAGGTTTTATGCTTTGCTCCCATCTCCTCACACAAAGCTGCAATATGCGACTTTCATGGATCGTGACTTTACAATGTTTACCATGCGCACAACATCATCCAACACATGAACTAAGGCTGATGGTAAAGTCTTGGCTACGAGGGCCTCGCGGTTGTTTGTAAAAAACAATGCGTAATAATCACATCTGGATTCTTTCCTTCAATCTGCTTACAAAGCCTTTGGTGCGCCCGACCATGGCTGCAGCTCCATCGGTGCAGACACTTGTGCAGTTTTCCCACTTAAGTCCTCCTTGTTCAAGGTATTCTGATGTGACCCGAAAAATTTCTTCTCCTGTTGTTTTTTTCTGGCAATACCTTGCAAAAAAGAAGTTTTCTCTAATTGCATCACCATCAACAAAACGCACATTAGCTAAGAGTTGAGCATGTCCACTGATATCAGTAGACTCGTCAAGTTGCAATGCAAATTTCTCACTGATACGGATCTTTTCCAAAACCACACTTTCGATGTCTGCAGACATGTCATTAATACGTCTGGAAATTGTGTTGTTTGAGAGAGGGACTTTGGCTATTTCCTTTGCTGCTTCAGGTCCGAGCATCTCCTCTACAATAGCTTTGCAGGCAGGAAGTATTAATGTCTCTGCACAGTGTGCGACTTTTTTGTCTTGGCTATAAGTTCAGCAACTTGATAGCTAGCTTTAGAGCTCTTTCATTTACCTTTGTTGTTTTTCTCATAAAAGTTGCCTGTTTCTCCATGTTGTCACGCAGGCGAACAAAATAGTCCACATTCTTGTTTTGAAGCAAAGGGTGTTTCGTTTGGAGATGGCGTTTAAGTTTGCTTGGGACCATATAGCACTGTTAGCTAGCTTTTCACCACACACACACGCACAGTGGAGTTGGTTTGTGTTCATCCCAGTGAAAGTAAATCCAACTGAAATATAGCTTTCGCTATTTGCCTTGCGCCAGAGAATTTAACCATCTTTGCTTTCTTTTGACCCCCACTCATACTCGGGCTCTCATCTGGCTCCAGATTTGTTCAGAGTCCAGTTCTTTCCTTTTCAAAAACTTGTCCATCACTGCAGTATCAGTGTCTCTCTCCTCACAGCAGCCGTTGTCTCTCTGACACTGTGTGAGGCGTCTGCCTGCCTCTCATGGGGGCGGGGGACACGGCGGACACTTGTCAAGATTGGCAGGGGGAGGAGTTATAGCACTGCACAGCGCCGTGACCACCTATGACACTGGCGGGGGGAGTGACGGGAGGAGTTATAGCGGGCGAACAGCACCGTGACACCCAGACCCGGTGGCACACCACGGTGCTTCAGACGGCACACTGGAGTGCCGCGGAACAGCGGTTGGGAACCGCTGCGCTAGACGAGACACACTCACTCGATGAGAGACGCACACTCCCTGACTGCAGACCAGCAGGATTTATATAGCTTTCGGCTTGTGTTCGAGAGCATTCTGGGCTAAACCGGTAAGCTCTCGAAATATTCATGGTCATTCTAGACCCGAAGTAAAATCATGAAGTACCTATACAGAAAATGTATTAAGACATTAACAGAATCTCAGGAAACAATAAACGTATTAGAAAATTTCTATTACACGTAAAAGCTCTTTCCTTGAATTAAAAGCTAACATGTGCATGCGTGCAAATGTTATTTAACAAATTTCAAAACTTCCCTTTAAGTGTTGTTATCAATCTCATTTGTCTGACAATGGTTAGCACTAACCCATGACATTCATCTGTGCAAGTAGTCAAATGCGCCTGTCGTTGGCAGCAGCTTAGCGTAATAAAGGTGACAGTCTGACTTTAGCTCATTTCCGCCGCCACTTTTAAGAGAGAACACTCCTGGGCGCGTAATGGTAAACCGCACATTGAGTTGAACAGTGTTAAACGAATGTTGCATACTGCGCATGCCCAGAAAACTATTTGGCGTAATTACTATGTTGGCGCGATTTGAAAAGAAGATAAATACGGTTTATAGTAGATGTATCGCCATCTAATTGTAAACAAATCTGGCGTTTAAATCTTCGTAGAGTATAATGTAAATGTAAATTAATTACTGTGTTAAAATACTATTTTTTGCTGTACTGCTCAAAC